CATCGTAAAACAGTCCGGGTTCCTTGATAATTCTTGGTGCGACTTGAGGGATTGGTTGTTGAGTTGCTGGTTGTTGTTGTTGTTGTCGATTATACACTGGCTCATCTGCATTCTGGGTGTTGTGAAGCCCATATCCAGACAAGGGAGGTATGTTTTGTTTTTGAGGTGTAATGTCGCCTGAATCTGAGTCCTCCTCCGTTATATCTCGTATTTCACTTGCTTTTCCCTTTCCTTTATCCTTCGGTGGTGGCAGTGTAGTTTCCGGATTCCAATTGAACGATGAAGATGATCCTGAAGGTCGATCAAAAATTCGGTTCCTAAAAGGGGTTAATGGTGCAAATCCGTCTTCCAAATCTGGTGTACTGAACGGTAGACTCATGTTGATTTTGATTGATTTTCCTAGTTTTCCTTACTTGACGCTCCTTCGATACCTAAACAAACGGTTGCTCTGAAAAAGAAACAAATAATACTTTGGTCGCTGGTTTCTTTACCAGGGCAAGCTTATAGTCTTCTTTAAAAATAATAGATCAGTTAACACTGGGAAGTTCTTCTTTTACAGAACCTACTTATCCAAATTCCTCGGGTACCTTTGCCCTTCTTTTGGTATCTAAGCAGCTGCTTTCTTTGAATAGTTCCTGAGTTGTCTTCAAACAGTATCCTAGTTATCCAGATCCTTCGGTCTCTTGCCTTCTTCTGGTCAATAACTGGCTGTCTTCTTCGAGTCCTTGTTTCAGTCGATTCCTACGCTTTCTTTTCAGAGGTTGGTTGTTTATGTCGTTGAATTGTTATTGAAGTTTGACTAGTTGATCAACAGAATAACTGAATATGCCGCTGAGTTGTCCAAATTTGTTTGATGAATTCGTTCCGTTTTACCGCTAGAAGTAATGATCCTTTGTCGATGTCTTTGTTGATTTCTTCTTATTTCGTTTAGAGTCGGTTATACGATGTCACTCAAAGGTTATCCTATCACGTTGGGGACTCCCTTGTAAGACTCAAAAGTGGTTGTGAAACCCTTTTGCTGAATGGAGAAGGGGATGATGGAGTTGCAAGCTCTGCCCTTCTATGCTATCAGAACAACAAGACCACCAAGCTCAGCTTGGCAGTTTATATATCGTGATAGAGGATAGTTTGAGATGAAGCTGTCGAATGATTCGTATAACGGTTAAAGGTGTTGATGGTGATTGTTGATGATGATGTTGTTGTTGATGAAGTTGTTGATAGAGGTGTCAATGATTGTTGTCGAGGTTGAGGCTTGAACGCAGGTCCTTGAGGTTGAGGGTATATAAAGTTAAAAAGAGGTGATTTGGAACCAAGGCGCTGGGCGCTGGGAGCACTATGCTTCAACCAGGAATGGAACAGGGGACTGGGCACTTGGTATGATGATGATGATGTGAAAGTGTTATGAATATATTGCGATAAAATAAGGGTGGTTATATAACTGTGACCTGTAATATAATGGGTGGTAATTGTAAGGGTGGTTGAGATGATCTGGTCCACTGGTGGGATGATGAAAGGTACAACTGGCAGGCAGAGGCCTCCTTATATAGACAAAATTGAGGGATTTTAGCTCCAGGGTACATGCATCTGAGGGATTTTAGCTGGCCTGAAAATACAATGAGGGAATTTAGCTAGTCTAGTGCATGCAGGTGAGGGAATTTGGCTGGTGAGAGCACAGCCTTGAGGGATTTTGGCTAGCCTACAAGGTCCTACTACAAAGGAATGCATGTGCACAAACAAAGGAATTCAATATGAAATATAAGCCAGTAAAGGAATTCAATATGAAACAAAGGAATTCCATATGAAATATGCATCCAGTATTCAAAATGAGACGTGATCAGGATAATAATAAAGAAAAGCTCCTGTGACAGCTTGAGATAAGTGTAACTTCTGAACTAGTAGAGATAAGAGGGTAGTTGTAGTGAGTGACTAGGGGTTAGTTTACCTCAGGAATCCATTTTTGATGTTTCTTTTACCTTATATCTGATGTAGAAAAAGATGAGAATAAATTTTTATATTTTCGGCGTAGAAACACAGGAATAATTACCACAACGCGCTTGTCTGACGTCTGAGTAGTGAAATTCGAGTGGCCGGCCATTCTGTTAGGTGTAGATGTCCGGAACGGCAGGCAGACAGAATTCAGGGAAAGTCTGCCATGGTTAAAGAATCCGACCGGTAGTGAACTGCCCAATCAGAAAAACTTGAAGGCTGTTGGTCACAGGTGGGGTGTGTGGAGATGCCGAGCATCGCAAAACTCCTGGTGTTCCCGGAATTGTCGGTACATTCCAACCCCCCCAGTTTGGCACCATGCTGGGAGCTAAATGTTTTGAACCGGAGCGACTCCATTTCGTAAGATTCGAGTACTGACAGCAGAGTTGAAAAGGAAAGGTTAGATCCAACAATCCCTTCCAAGAGCATCGCCTCAAGTAATTCAAAGGAGAACCGTTGTGACGAGGCAGTCGTTGTCCCGCTAACTGGCCTCTGCGTCCGTCCATCCGTCTGATCAATGCTAAATACCAGTTTGGGGCCAAGCAGATACCAAACACTTGAGGTATAAGTGGGAGACCATGATATCGGCGACAGTCGTTTTCGCCAACCCCCCAGAGTGTCCGTCCGGTCTTCTGACTGAAGCTAAATGCCCCAGACCGACATGTCTGAAATACCGCAACCCCCCCAGGGTACCATACGCGGGAGCTGTACCGGATGATGGTTGGACACAGTGTGACTATTAGGAGAAGGAAGGCTGAAGCATTCATAGATTTTGATAGTCGGCTTGGTGGTCGCAGAGGCTGGAGCAATACCGCCACAACATTGTCCACCGTCAGAAATCCCAGTGCAGGATGCTGAGGACAGCATATATGGAAATGATACTTGTGCCAAAGAGTTGTTGGGGTAAGAATACAGGAGCTTGCTCCGGCCAACGGTCCCTATAGCTGTTGTCCACGAGATCCAATCCCAAACATAGACACCCGCCAGGTAACATGCCCAATCCGTGCGGTGGGGCCCGAAGTTAAAAAAAACAAGACAACAGTGTGGCCAAGCCCGTTGCAATCATCTGAGATGCCTGATTGGAAGAATGTCTCGATCCGAGTATTAACACGGGCGGGGAACAAAGTAATTGGGAAGCTGACTGCATGTCGGTAGGTGGCGCAGAGAGAGTAGGCAAGTCGACTGGAATGGAGAAGGCGGGAGGAGAGCACAGAGAACATAGATGAGAAAAATTTTTGGAGGGACCGCGGCAAAAAAACAGTAGCATTATAACTGAAAAATTCAGAAAAACGATAGTATTTGCAGAGGAGTCAGAGAGAGTCGTTGACCGTCGGAGAGAAGGAAGATTGGAACAGTACTACTATAAACTCAGTATCAAGAAGAACTATATAAACTCAGTATCAAGAATCACTATATAAACTCAGTATCAAGAATCACTATATAAACTCAGTATCAAGAAACACTATTTCACTAATTATCACCCATTATATCACCCAGAAGTAGAGAAAAACACCCGATAAACACAGAGAGAAACTTGCCCACACTTGGGACTTCACCAGAGAGACAAGAGAGAAACACCGATATAAAGAGAAACTTACCCACACTTGGGACTTCACCAGAGAGACAAGAGAAACACTGATAGAGACCAGAGGGAAACACTGATAGAGAGAAAAATACCGAGAGAAAACACTAAGAGAGAATTGTTGGGGTAGAAAACAGAGAGGCAGTGATAGAGACACCATGTGAAAATATTATTTAAAGGTTTAAAGGTTGACTACTAAGAATGGCACCGCCGAAAAAAGGGTTTTGAAGTGTTAAAAGATGTTGCCATCAAGTTAACTCGTACCAAGTGGAATAAACGAAAGACGAGAAAGGCTCATAACCTATTGAGGCACGAGTACGTAAGTGGGAGGAAAAGAGAGTGATGGCTTAATTGCATTTAGAGAAAGGGCATAATGTGGAGAGAAATACATGCTTATTTATAGTCCACATTATGTAAGAGAAAAAGGAAAGAAAAAGAAGAAACGTGAGAAAAGGGATTCATGAGATAGTCGGGCGTCTCTTGTCGAGATCATCATCTATGTCATTTATGACATAGACTGTAGTGAGACGTAATCATTACTCAAGATTACGTAGTCGAGCTACAACAAGAGTGAGACTCCGAGGCTCAATGACGTGGATGTCATGAAGGCGTGAGACCGGACATCGGTGTGGAAATATCCGGTCATGGTCAAATCAGATTTTGTATTTTTCATTTTTGATTGAGCATAATATCTTTGGCTTCAGGAGGAGTGGTAGGAAAGTAAAGACATGGAAAAAATGAGAAAAATCATGCGAGTCTATGTCCCGCGCGGCTTCCCTAACAACAGTGATCTTGTGGGGGGAAATGGGGTGTTTTGTGATTTATCCGGCCATTTGGCTGGATGCCCTCAGCCCGGATGTGCGACATTATGTGCAAGTCCCTCCCTGACGGGAGGCGGCCCTTCGGGCCTAGGGAGGGACTTGTGTTAAGTTTGGGTCTACATTGGATTCTCATATCCGATGACCTGCTCTCTTTGATCTATTCATCCATGATCCATGTAACAATGTGTATCAACATTTGGAACAGACGGCACTGGAATGCCTGATGTGACCTTTTTCTCGTCGCTTCTCCCTATGTAGAGGATAGCCAAAGCAGTGTACAATTTCCAATACGAACTGCACTTTGAAAAATAGAGAAATATCCTTCAAAGAAGGAATCAACAGGCAAGATTTGGTGAGCCCATGTCCTGTGAGTGTGCCATTTCTTTCTTTTTTCGGAGCCAAGAAGGCTTTGTAAGTTGTTGGGCTTCAAACCTCTGACCACTCCAGCTCAGAAGGATGATAAGTAAGATGAGACACATCTTTTAATTACATAGATTAGCAGGCATTGATTCAAAGAAATAAATAAGGCCACTAACATCCGAAAAAAAGAAGGACATCTTTTGGGGGTCGGAAAAAACAAATAGGATCGGTGTATGCAGAATCTTTCAATTATGTTACACCTGCCAAAGATACTGTTCTTGCGACCGGGGGCAACTCGCACGAGAGGCTGTTTTCGCGACCGGTGGCACCTCGCGAAAACGGCTGTCTTGCCGACCGGAGGCCCCTCGCGGAAGGGTCTCTTGTTGCGCCCGGACTCCGGAGGCACCTCGCGGAAGAGTTTTTTTTTGCAACTGGATGCATCTCGCGAAAGAGCATCTTTTCGCGACCGGTGGGTGGCACTGCAACCGGGGCCACCTCGCGAAAGAGGCTCTTTTGGCGACCTAGGCCACCTTCCTCAACAAGCTCTTCTCGCAACCGGTGGCACCTCGCCGGCGTCCCAATCCGCAAAAAGAGCCTCTTTTTGGCGAGGTGCCCCATTTATGTGAGCTGGCTGTTCATCAAATTACTTGATCGCCCAGTCTCCATTGTATGTACATCAATAAATTTATGGTTCTGTGACTGGTGGATAGTCGAGCTCACTTAATTCTTCTCATTCTGATTACCTATTGTAATTTAAGGCATAGTATACCAAAAGAAAGCCAAGTCATTTGCATTTCTATGTATACCAAGCCTTTATGACGTTTCTAAAACTTCACCCCTCGCACGAAAAACAAATGAGATTAGGGAAAGCTTAACAGTATATACAGCCTGAAGAAGTTTCCTCAAACGACGTAATGGACTGCACTTCACAGACCCGATGACCTCAATTTCCATTGGCACTAAGTTCTCAAACATGCAGTGTGCATAGGCAATCATTTTACTTGAGAAAAACACAACATTAGATGTTTTTCAAGTGATGATACAATAAAAACAACCAGATATTGAAGGAGATACGCATTGCTGTAATAGAAAGTATACATATAGATGGAGGGCATATTCGTTGATCACTATGGATGGAAAACATAACGATTAGAGAAGGCATAAAAAAGGGAATTATTACTAAGAACGGATCAGACTGCCGTTGTGATACAAATTATTCTAAATAGGACATCGTTAACTCTATTAAATCGCGATCTCATGCCTGAATAAAGTGAAGGTTTCATGAAATCATCAGTTCAGATTAAGCTAATCCCTCGATCAAATTTGCAAGAGAACCAATACAAGAAGAAAGCAGGCGAGGCATACCGAGTTCTCTTGGTGCTTGTTTGCTTCAGAAGCGTCTTTCTTGAATAGCCCTACGTTAGCGCCGATCCCGAAGTTGGATCCGTAGCTGTTGTAAGCCAAGTTGTAATTGAGGCCTCCAATGAGATAGTTTCCGTACAGGTACGGGTTCAAGTAGTTTGTGAGGTAAGAGCTGCCAAAGGGGGGACCGTAAAGGCCGTAATTGCTGAACCCGCATCCGAAGTAGCATTTCTCGTCCGATTGTCCTTTGTGGGAAGCGGCGACCTGGTCTGCTCGGGGAGCAAGAGTCGGCATGGCCAGTGCTGACTGGAGGAGGGCCAAAAAGCAAGCGGCGTAGAAGAGGCAGTTCATGATTGGTTCGTGGTTTTTTTGTAAGGGCAATGGGATGGTGGATGCTTGTTGGTTATTCGGCTTGTTGGTTTTGTAGGATGTCTTTAAGAGTCGTTGGAGCTGGTGAGTGATGGAGGGACCGATGACTCTTCAAGCAGCTTCTTAAATAGCTTTTGAGAACGGGTGCACTCGATGGTTATCCCTCTCAAGGCGCCCATGACCGTTGTCCTCTTGTGTGGCCACCACACTCATGTTGATCTCACGACAGAAACAGATAGATCGTCTACGTTCCGAAGGACCTCATTCTCAAGGGTAGTCTGGGGTCCAACGATGTGATCACAATATGTAGCCTCTCATCGACCAACTAGGACCGGCCCGAGTCGTTCCGGCCCGGAACCCGGCTCGTTAATCGGCTGTAGATTCTCTTTTGACACACTCAAGGTCGTTATATTCAGCACTCGGCGTTGCTATGTACCCTCACCTCTGACTCACCACATTACCACTGGGAAGGTCTACATCGGACTCTCATATCCGATGACCTGCTCTCTTTGATCTATTCATCCGTGGTCCATGCAACGATGTGTATCAACATTTGGAACAGACGACACTGGAATGCCTGATGTGACCTTCTTCTCGTCGCTTCTCCCTATGTAGAGGATAGACAAAGCAGTGTACAATTTCCAATACGAACTGCACTTTGAAAAATAGAGAAATATCCTTCAAAGAAGTAATCAACAGGCAAGATTTGGTGAGCCCATGTCCAGTGAGTGTCCCATTTCTTTATTTTTAGGAGCCAAGAACTTGAAGAAGGCTTTGTAAGTTGTTGGGCTTCAAACCTCTGACCACTCCAGCTCAGAAGGATGATAAGTAAGACGAGACACATCGAAATAAATAAGGCACTAACATCCGAAAAAAAGAAGGGCATTTTTTGGGGGTTGGAAAAAACAAATAGGATCGGTGTATGCAGAATCTTTCAACTATTTTACACTTGCCAAAGATACTGTTCTCGCGACCGGGGGCAACTCGCACAAGAGGCTGTTTTCGCGACCGGTGGCACCTCGCGAAAACGGCTGTCTAGCCGACCGGAGGCCACTCGCGGAAGGGTCTCTTGTTGCGCCCGGACCCCGGAGGCACCTCCCGGAAGAGTTTTTTTTTCTTGCAACTGGATGCATCTCGCGAAAGAGCTTCTTTTCGCGACCGATGGGTGGCACTGGCACCTTGGTAAACACTTTTGGCGACCGGGGCCATCTCGCGAAAGAGGCTCTTTTGGCGACCTAGGCCACCTTCCTCAACAAGCTCTTCTCGCAACCGGTGGCACCTCGCCGGCGTCTCAATTCGCAAACAGAGCCTCTTTTTGGCGAGGTGCCCCCGGTCGCAAAGATAGCCTCTCTCGCGAGGGTGCACCGGTCGCCAAGAGAGCCTCTTCCGCGAGGTGCCTACCGGTCGCGAAAAGATCCTGTTCGGCGGTGCCACGGTCGTGGTTCGCGACCGCTGGCAGTTCGCTAAAGACGCTCTTGGCCCGACTAATGAAACCTCGCTTCAAAAGGGTCTGTTTGCGACCGGTGGCACCTCTCGTCAAAGAGGCTGTTCTTGCGAAATGAGACGCCGCAAATTGGATACAGATTTAAGATAGTACAACAACACATAATCTATCGATATACAGAGGATCATTGGACCATGTGGCTGCCCCTTCGACTATCTTCATAAAGAAGACAATCTCAGGTGTTGGATGAAGAGGGAAACAAGATCGATGATAATGATAAGCATACAGAGGACGTCGAGATAAGGAATTAGGATTAAAATCAGACCGTGCTTGTTCAACAAAGTCAACAGATAAATATTGAGAATGATATGTAGCAGCAAAAAGAAAAAAAAGCAAACCAATTAATGATGGATATCCAAATGCCGGTTGATTGAAAAATAGAGAAAAATGGTAGGGGAAGACAAAATTCAAGATCTATGGTCTTCAGAGATTTCCTTGATGAGTTTTTGAGCTTCGGGACTATTCTCATCGAATCTGTAAATCCCCCAATCCAGCAAGAGGGTGGTCTTCAGTGCCTTGGGGATCGATTGATACACTTTGCTGGGGATTGGGAACAAGATTGAGGTCTGATCTAGATAAAGTTTATATTGCTCCCAAAGATCTTCTTCTCCTCCGTCTTGATGGTGGATGGCTTCATCTTCAGCTTGAGGTGAGTGAGGGATATTCTTATCAAGTTTGGACTTATACGACTTGACAAATACACTCTGTTGGACTGGCTTCTCAGCGGTTGGTAAGCCTGACAGGAAGAGCAGTAAGATCGTAATAAAGATTGGCGAGATGACCGTTGCGTGTAGTAGGCGTCTTGATGAATCTTCAACGCCCGGGTTATTGGCAGATTCAATGCTCTAGAAAACAATCAATGGAGGAAGGGGTGAGTCAGAAGGCGAAGAAGACAGATCAAACAAACCGTTCACATACCATTAACCAGATTCCCCACCATAGCAACATCTCACCGAAGTAGTTCTGCAAGATAAGAAATGAGATGTAGAGTGGTCAGATTCATTGGGAAGTGTTGGGTCTCTTGTGCGAAAAAAAAGAGGAATAACCAACCGGGTGTCTGGACCATTTCCACACTCCGGCCCTACAGACGGGCAATCCACGCTGGTCTTTTGAGCTTGCCTTCCACTGGTACTTCTGCACATCTCCCAAGGTTTCGAGGAGCATCCCAATGATGAAGAAGATCAAACCGACGACGTCTGATCCACTGCCGAATGGGATTGGGTCGGGAGCGGCGGCAGAAATGTTGGGCGAATTGAGGACGGTGACCGGGAGCGATACGATCCATACCCATAGTAATTGGAAGATCCAAAAGGCCCCGAACCTGAAGAAGTCCGACCTCATCTCATCGAATCTGTCGTCTTTCCCCCGTTTCAGGACCCTGTTCAAAAATATACAAGTTCAAATTTCTTATCAGTAATCTTTCATTCTTCCTGAGCGCTGATTACAAGTTGGTCGTTCAACGAACCTGAACAGCAAGAACCCAGCCAGCCGAATAGCCCAGAACATGACGGCAAGGGAAGCGATCCAATTACGCGATTCGAAGGTTTGGCCATAGATGAGTGTGATGAGAGCCAAGATGAAGAAATTCGAGCCGCCGGAGAAGTCGGTGATCTTATCGAACTGCAAGGTGTAGGAGATGATGAATGCCAACGATTGGATGGCGAGTGAGATGAGGAAGGTGATTGAGAGATAGCTGTTATCAAGAACGTAGATCGGTGCCATCGTTGTCTCTTGTATTGAACGAGTGATGGTAATTATTAAAGGATGCAGTTTCAAGCAGGAAGGGACAAAGACGACCACATAAAAGAGGGAGAAGCCCAGGGTGAAGCTGGCTGTATGCGCTGCTGTCCACTGTGAGCTTCGGCCTTCCGAGCTGTGCTAGCTGCTGTGCACAACGCACGTCCCCCATCGAGCTCACCGATTCGAAAATGCCCTTCGACAATCGGGACACCGGCGACTCTTGCGAACATCCGGCCACTTGCAGCGATTGAGCTGTGTGAGCCTTCTTGGTGAGCTGGTCCCGGCGCTGACATCGTCGTCCGTTCCTCAGACCGGTCTGATGGATATCCCAATGGTGGCCGACACTTAATCATGGACATGGGGTCTTGGGAAGCCCACTTCCAATGTTACTGATACCATCTACATAGGCGAGACTTTTTCTCAGTCTAGTGAAAATGTAAGCATGATGAGTACTCAAGACATCTGATATGCAGGGTGGCTTAAGTCTATCAGCCCATACCACTTTTCTCGATTTTTAAGAATGAAAAAGAATGAAAAAGCTTAACAACACACTTCAAACTAGAAAGAGAAATGGGCAGTGCACACATGAACACTCTAAGACGGAAACAAATAAGAACATTTCAAAGATCAAGAAATTTTGATATCCAGAAGATTGATCGACTCTCGAATTTCTCTTGTCCTTGCTTTGTTTATCTAAGTTGGCTAATCAATATCCTGTTTACCATCATATTCTTCGAGTTTTGAGCTAGCCAATTGCCATCCTTTCCCTTCCTCATCACCCAAACAAATCTCTCTAACGATTTCAATGACTTCATCGATCGGACCAATCACTTGTTTAGTCGAGTCTCGTTCTCTGCAGTAAAGAAAGCCAATATTACCATCAGCATCACAGTTTAAGAAATCCTCAGTTGCAAGAAATGGTTTTCTATCTTTGACAAGAAACAGAGTATGGGGTGGAGAGCACGGACTGACCTTAAGGTAACCGTCCCATTCTTGACCGATCCGAAGTCGACTGTGATCCCGAATGGGGTACCGAGCTCATCATTACGCGAATATCGTTTGCCGATCGATGCATTCGAATCGTCTACTCGGCTAGCAATTCCTGCATTCCGCAACTTCTTAGCTACATGCCATCCCAGTCAAATAATAATAATAAATCAGTTTGACTCGAGTAACCAGGAATTGTCTAGGTAGATCTTGCTCACAGATAGATCGGATCAATGGTCTGAATACCTCTGTCCCACTCAAGGGGACGATGAGAACCTTAACTGGAGCAATTGACGGAGGTAGGGACAACACCTGACACGACAAGGTGAGAGGATTTAGTAAGCAAAAGTTTTCAGGTTATCATAATCAACATTCAACCTCACCCCCCGGTTAACATCCTCAGCCCTCGCCCAATAGCAATGTTCCAAGAGCGAATAGAGTATTCGACCTATTCCGAACGAGGGTTCAATCACATTCGGGGTATATTCTCTCGCTGATCATACCAGTCCCGCCAAATGGTTAGTTTTGGCTTTTCACTTCGGATCAAATATCATCGAACTGATGAGTGAGTTTCATGAGGTTTGGCTACGTACTGGTTTCCTTGAATTTTTTGCGCTCAATCTTCAGAATATCTTTGGTCAATTCGTATTCATTACCATCGCTAGCACGAATCTTGGACGTCCTTTTCTCAAAAAAAAGGTTCTCAAGTTCATGTCAGAGTGCCGGCAGATCAGCTGGACAGAGAATGATTTTTCTTTTCAAATAATCTTGGGTGACGAACCCATCGGTCTCAAGTTCCTTGGAAAGACACTCCAGCCGAGCCTCATCAAAGGCTAAGACGGTTTGTTCGACCACCTTGGCGGCCTGTCTGAAACGGGGACCGAACAACTTCTTGTCAAACATCGGAACGTTTTTCTCGATTTCGATGACCTCTTTCAGAGGTTCCCGGACCACCAGTTTCGTACCAGTTCTGACGGAATGGACCGTCAGATCGTATGCCGATCGATCGGCACATCCGACACATTCGATCCATCCATAAGACGAATGGATCTCCGCATCCCAACAGTCTGAGGCATAATGTGCCATCTCATTGTCCATGTGTTGTCGGAATCGTAGTCGGTCAGGGTTGATTCCGATCTTCCTTAAAAATAGATCGATCCTTGCCAGGAAATATCCGAGTGTGTGATTATCGACGATCTGCTTCTCGATAGCCTCGCCTATCGTCATCTCGATTGTCTCTGTCTTCCCCTCAGCTTGAACAGACCTTGGTAACAGCTTGATCTTGTGATTTTCGATCTCGTGAAATTTGTCATGTCGTTTATCCATCGGGTCAACATAATGTTCAATTTCGGCCATGGTGAACTCCCGAACTCTAAGAAGACCTTGTTTGGGAGAGATTTCATTACGGAAACTTTTTCCAATTTGAGCCGATGCGAAAGGTAGTCTACCATTGTTGAATTCCAAGAGTCGATTGAAATTGACGAAGTGACCTTGTGCAGTTTCCGGTCGAAGATAGGCTTTGAACTGACCAGTAGGACCGATTTGAGACTCGAACATCAGATTGAACTCGACTGGCTCAGTCAACTCGTTACCCGTATCAGGCGAACGAATCTTTTCCTCTCGAATTAATTCTCCCAACTGAGCACCAGTATAATTATCGATTTGCGCGAGAATTGAATGATATCGAGCCAGAGTTTCATCGGGCAGTTGAACGAGTTCTGCTTTCAGTTTCTTCTTCTTGGCTAGCTTGTTGTTGGCCAGATCGGCGGGCTCAGTAGTTTGACCTCGAGCCTTACTATCGGCGGTAATTCGGGAAGCTAGGACGGCTTCGACTAGATGGTCCGCTCGAAAGATGTCTCCAGTCTTGACGTCCGAAGTCATCCAGTCCGTGAACTTGTCGACGTGGCCTGAGGTCTTTAACACCTCCGCTAGGGTGATCACGGTCGTGTCAATCTCCGACATTTCATCCTCTATAATAAAATGTTTTCGCCATTCTTGCAAGATGTTGGATTGTAAGGTACTTCCTGGTGGTCCAAAGTCATACCTAAAAAATGACCATCCGAAGTAACAGGGGGATGAAAAAATCAATCAATTATTCTATAAACTCATTTATTGAAGAAACTTATGCATTCCAATCTCAATTCTTGCTTCTTCTAACTTTTTTTTTTAATTCAAACAAGAACGAGAAAATCAAACAAAGGTTGAAGTACTGACAGACCAGCGACACCTAGATGACAAACAAAAGAAAAATTAACACGCGTTCTTCTAACAAGCCTTAATTTGTTTGAGGGACTAACCTCCGTAGTGTTCGAAAGCGGGAGCATAAAAGAAACGCTTGATGAGTAAGCCCTCGAGATGGCTGCGATCGAATGGATGGGCATCCTTGACAATCGATTTCTCGGTTGAGCAGGCTGCAGGTTGAGAGACGGACATGGTTCGAAGGTGGCTGAGATGAGATGTGTGAGTGATGATAGGGCTTGCGGGCGAGTTCTTTCTTGTGCTTGGATAGATCGTAGGACTGGGTGGTTTCAATGGCCGAAGTTGTTGGGAGACTCTCGTTAATAAGAATGAACTTGTTCGCATTCGATAGTTCTCTGACCTCTTTGGTTTCTGGTTTGGAATTTCCAACAAAAAAAAGAAACAAGAAAAAGCAAAAGTCCCTTGAAAATAGTGGTCGAACTGCTGATGTAAGCCGATCAACCACCCAAAATTGAAAGGCTGGGTTATCAGTAAGCTGGGTTACAGGATTATGTAATCAGACAAATCAACCAGCTCACAATTGACCCATTTCAAGAGGCCCCATCTCATGCCAAAAGTAGAATTAAAATCTGCTTCTCCTTGCTTATTTTTCAATGAATTCCCTTTGGAAGAAGATAGGAAAACACCCTTGTATTATTTTCTAATTTCATCTGCTAATATCGACAAGAGTACTGCATGAAAAGATTTGCATTAAACACTTAGGGTAACCGGGATTATTTCCAATCAATCCGGTGTGAACATGACCAGCTTGACAAGGCCTCGGGTTTCTAGATTTGCACCAAGCAGGATTGCAATCCACATCAAACAGAAGAAAATCGATGGCTTTCATGCCAGTCCGTGTTTATAAATATATGAAACTGCTTTGTAGATAATTCAGAAATACCCAGAGACTGACCACCTATGTTTTGATAGAATAAAAGAAGATAAGGGTTACAACAAGGGTCTAGAGGCAAGATGGATAGAGGCCAGATGATTTATGACTATAAGTATATCTCAAAGATTTATTGAATGGAATCGTATATAAGCATGGCTCCCAAGACAAGGCAGATGGTAGTTATAGGACTGAAAATAATAAGGTAACGTCGATTAATCAGTTTTTGTGGCTGGCATTTCACTCCTGCAAGAAAAGCTTTGACTCACGTGGCGAGGGCGTATGACCACAACAACAACTTCGAGACCATCTCGTCGAAGAAATCCATATTTGCCTTTGATGTCATTTGAGCCAATGTGATTGCAGGTGGGGCGCCGACGATCAGAGTGGCGGACAGGATGAAGACGGGGTCCTTGAATACTTCAAGGTGTGAACGTTGGCAGATAACGGCCAAGATGGGAAGCATGATGAGCGGGGTTATGATATGACGGGCAAGGAGAGTGAGGGTTATGTCTGTAAAGGTTCTCCGCGAGTGGCTCCGCTTCTCCTTGATGAGCTGAGTTTTTTCATCTTCCATCAGCGGTTTTTTATCTTTTGGAGGCCGGTAGAAAAATGCACCTAGGTGTTTCTCAGAAGGATGTGTCGGCTTGAGCTTCTTCTAGATAAAAACTTGAAATTCTTGAAAATGGGCATCTTTCAACTTACCAAGTAGCACTAGTGTGAGTGGGATGGCAACAGCACCCGCCATCGAAATGAAACTATGAAGGGAATCGGATTGCAATCAGTTTCTGATTATTGCTCAGGTCTGATAATGAGAAGCCTTGTGCGTACTCTCTCAATGGTCTGATCTTTCCAAGTCCTTGCTGGAGGGGTGTAATGCAGGCCACAAATATGGCAGCAAGCGAAGAAAGTCTAGATTGTCCGTAGTAAAAGAATTTTCCTTTCAGTTCCTAATTTATATTATTCGAGAATCTCGATCAAGACAGAATGAATTACAGTGGTGGGTTCAGGAGTTCACCAACTACCTCGAGGAACTTTTTGGGAGGCGCCAGACGCTTTTTCAATCTGCTGGTCGTGCGGCAAACGCCACGCCAAGCTTCGCAAAGACACTTTGTTTTCCTTGTCTCTTCGCCCCCTCTCCCTGTCTTGGGGTTTATCAGAACATTGTTTTGAAACTCTGCGTGATCACCAGATGGGGTAGCTGGTGTTAGGGCCTCCAGATCGTAGCCCGACATGGCAGAGTTGGGGGTCATGGGGGCCAGGTAGCTGGAATTAACCTCTCGATGCAATCGCGAGACCACGAGGCTTTCAGGCCGCGAAATCAGACCCCCGAAAGGATGTGAATTGTCGCAATTTGAATTGGACTCGAGAGGAGTAGCAGGATTGGTGGCCATTGGCACGTGTTGGGTGTTGGCTTTGGCCACCGTTTCGTTTGAGGACGCCACGGGTTCTTCAGACGAATTAAGCAGTGTGATTCCTACGGACCAGCGCAACAGGGCGCCAAGAACGGTGCATAGGACGAGGTATTGGAATGATCTCTCTAGTATCTGTGACCTCATTCATCAAGGTCAGATTTCCATTCTATTGGAGAATAAAATCGTGTGTGATGTGTGGAATTCAACTCACCGTCTCGGATGTGTCATCCGCTTTCCATTTGAGAAAGGGAGAACTTGACATAGTCTGCATCAATGCGATTGGCAAGGTATTCGAATTCATGAATGTCGCCCCTGCTACTGCTAGGTTTCGCCTGATCTTGGAAAGTCTAAAGCATGTTCCTAACGCCCATGCTACAGCTGCTGATGCGCAGCTTAGGATCAAGTAACCAACTGGGATGACTGTGGGTGCGAAGGCGTAGTAGGTGAGTTCATATGTCAATTTCTCTCTGTGCCGCAATGAAGACGGCTTACCCCAAAGGTTGGATAAAATTTGCGGAGTAAGACTGAAGGCGACTTTACCGAACATTAATGCCGGTGTGAACACAGCTCTGAAACCGCGAGGGGGGGGGGGGTCATATAACGTCGGGTGTCAACAGATGCTGATTGGGAACTGGCGTGTTGACTTACACATTCACTCGGCTCATCTGTCGGCGGACTTTTACATCCAGTATCCCTCGTCGCGCTGCAATATATCCTATCAGCTGTCTCGAAGGTATAACGCAATCAATATCTAGCATACCCCATCAGGGAAAGCAATCATTTTGCTTACACAAAAAACTGCGATCTATTGAGTGAGTGGGCAGAAAATTCAAGTCAACTCAAAGGATCGACTTGTTTAGCTTGATGGAAAACGTGCGGATAATGTCTTTGTGCTTACCTGCAGTATAGATGCGGCGACAGTGCTATATAAGGATGAAAAAAGGATTGCGTCAGTAATTTTTCCTCTCTGATTTCCAAGTGGTGCATTTATTATAGATCTGAGATCATCGCCATTTCCAGAAGTGACTTACCGCAAAATATCACCAACTTTAATCTCCATTGCCTTCGACAGCTGCACCGGTGAATGAGACCAGAAACGGGAAAACAACGGCCGACCGATTTACAAAATACCAGCCTAGAAGCAGAATAATTCGAGATTTCCTTTGATTTGCTAGGGGTGGCGAAGTGATAGGGCATCAGCTCCTCCGAATTCCATCGCCCCTCTCTACTCTTATATATGGGCGAGGCATCAACATGTTTACTTTCTTTGAAATCAATCGTCCTTACTTCTTGATAGCGTGGTTGCGCCAACCACTTGTTGTTACTTCAGTGATGGGGATATTCGAGTTAAGCCAGCGATGACGCTTGGGAAATAAAAAAAGATGTGCAAATTTTTAACAGACCCGTTCAAATCTAACGGTTGGATGAGCAACTGGTCCGGAGGTTGTTAGGGAGCCCGGAGGCCTTCAAAACTCGAGAAAGCTCCCAACCTTTCGATCAGAAACACAGCCCAGAACCGGTATGAGTATGTATGAGCCTCTTTGGCAGGAGTACGACTTTCGCATCGGTGAACGTCCTACGATGATAACCAAGTCTAGCCAGGTGCAGGCATGACAGCTCAAACCTTCAGAAACACCGGTTTCAACCTGTTTCAACTTCCGAAAGATTAGATAACCCGGCATATGGAACAACGTGTTTCTCACGTCTTCTTAAGTTGATTTGACTTTCTTCTAGCGATAGCTGGCTATCTTTGACGGAATCAACTATTTACATATTTAGTATTTCGTACTCGTGTTCTTCGAACAATAGACTGAAGCCTTGGCCCGTGTAAATCGAGTTCCCTTCGATTCCTTCTGCAGATCAACGTAATAACTGATCAACAATACGCTAGACCGATCGTACCAAATACAACACTAAACGGATCAACAGATACATAAAGGATCCGCCAAACATGTATCACGGTGTGTCGAAATTTAAAGCCTGTCGATTCGAGCTGACAATTGGGCCATTGGAAATGAAAGGTCAATCGGGTAAGCGATTTCGCAGGCAACTCAGATATGATTTTTCATGCCTGCTAAGGGAGAAAAAATCAGTGTCACCCACTCCAAAATTAAAGGGTGTGCTGGACGCAAGTGTCTAATGCGATAACCTAAAAGTTATCAGCAATGGTTTGGAGCCTGGTGGATCAGTGATTGGAACAGATGTAAATACTTAAATCCCTAGGAAGTAATGGGTGACATGTCGTCAATGAAGAGTGCGGTCAAACTGGCTGCACTCCTACATAGCTACACTACGGGTGCAGGGGTTCGAAACATTTCCGAAGTTCGTTCGGAAATGTTTCGAAATATGCGCCCGCAGGGGCGGACGTCCTGGACCTTGGTCCAGGTACATTTCGCAATGCGATGCGAAAGGGATTCCGAAGGTCTTTCGAAGACCTTCCGATAGCTTTTCGGAATCCTTTCGAAGTACTCACGAAACTCCCGTGGTTTCGAAATCGACTCCGAAGGGCTACATCGGAATGATTCCGAAAGACTTTCGAAAGACTCCCGTAATAACTGGGAGGTTTCGAAACCTTTTCCGAACTGTTATAGTCCTGCAGTGGCACTCTCGGCTGGCTTTTGGATCAGCACCCTTGTCTCTTATAAGGGTTGTCCCGTTCTATTGGGACATTGTACTCATCGATCATTCTCAATCATGTATCTGTGAGGTTCATGATTTTGTATTTCTGCGATGTATAATAGAGAAAAGAAATAACAACTCCATACAAAAGAAAAAGAAAAAAAAATCCCATCAACATTTCACTATGATCAATCAATCGATTGGAATGAAATGAAAGAAAGGATAAGAAAAGAGTAATGAGGGGTCTGAATAGAGAAAAGGAAGAGAAGCAGAAAAATACAAGGCAACTAAAACATGATAAGTTAGCGGATGGGTGTGTTTTCACAAGTGGCGCTGTAAGCAACAGATCGATAACAGCTAGCAGTTGTAGTCTGTAGATGATTGATCAAATTCAGCAGGTACGTTGGACTGAGCTCGAGCAAACAGCAGTAGTACTTGAGGGGCTTTTGTGAAGGTAGCAGAGAGGACAACGAGGAATGAGAAATCAAGCAACGGACATTTTTTTGAATCTTGGTGAGGTGATCGAGGGGATACTCTGCTAAAGAAGAACAGGAGGAGGAGTCGAATGATGCAGAGGAGATGGATGAGAGGTTTGGCGGAGGTGGAAGGGGAGCCAGGAGAGGTTGTCCTTTTAATCTGAAGACCGGTTGGTCGAGACCTTTCCCTTTCGAACACCTTTCGGAATTGTTTTCGAAAGATGCCAACTTATATCGAAATGTCTTTCGAAGACAGCTTCGAAACTTGCTTTTAAGGTTTTGATCCGGGACAATCCGCATAAAAACCGGAAATGTGTCAGACCAAAACCTTAAACACAAAATATCGAAATTGTTTCGATATTTTTTGCGGAACTTCTTAAAAGATTTCGAAAGTGTTACAAAAGCTGCTTCGAACTTCACGTTTCGAAAGTCTTTCGGAGCAAAACCTTAAAAGCACCCCCGTAGTGTACTAGTATTGAACATGATGTATGATAATAAATGGAGTAAAAAAGTATAACATTACATACCAAGGAAGCAAATTGCACAATAAGCCAAAGACAAACAGAAAAATTACAAATGAAACCACTGGAAATGAAAAGAAACAGTTGCACAGAATATTAATCAAATATGTCAAGAACAAGCGCAAGCAACAAGCAATGGAGAACATTGATTTGTACGAGCTGAACTAGTACATATACAAAGAAAATGACTGGAGGCTGTGTCACATTGTGCTTGAGGAGGAGAGAAAATGGATGGCTTGAGCCTCCCATCAATTCTGCAGCTCATGCAGAAACTGAGTTTGAGCTGAAAAGTCTAGATTTTTGCAAGCAAATCTAGCAGATGGAGCTCCAAACCAATGCCGCAGGGCCCCTATAAGGTCCTGAAAAGAAGTCTTTCAATGTCATTTATATTTACACACATGAACATGCATCAATGTTCCTCTAATTCAGCAAGAAACTGCTTGCTAGAGTTGCTCTTTTCTACGATCCCTTGGAGTTGTCCTTCTTCTCCATTTTCTTGGCAGATTAGGACAGCCTGTTGTATGATGAATTTGGCATTCTGACCAAAATGTAATTTAACAAATCTTTCCTAAACAACCCAGGTCCCAGATCATCTGTTCCCCACACAATCAAGTTTTCTGGCCATTATCACCAGAAGCTTTCTGTTGGCATTGGTCTTCTTTGCTTTTCTCAGTTTAAAAAGCCTTCATCTCAACCAGCAGTAAGCCATCAAACTCAAATAGTCCAGATTCTTCTGTCAGTCGCGTTTTACTTCTTCGTTTTCCTCTTCTCTTCTCTCGTACCAGTTGTCTCAACGATTGCTGATTCTTTTTGAGTTGGTCAGCTTTCCTTAATTTTTCAAAGATTATTTCTGTCGGTATGTATCCAATTCGTTCATGTATTTTTCTTGGTCTCGGGTGGACTATTTCCCCTAAAATACTGGGGAGCTGGGTCGTCTCAAGCTTGGTTAGCAGTCCCGAAGCCACCAGTGCTACCAAAACCACCCGCCCCACGCTCTGTCTCAGTCATCGATTGGACTTCCCGACTGATCAAATCAACGTGTAATTAAGAGAAATAGGGGTATATCATTAGTGTGTTCTCCAGATGTCCCGACAACGAAACCTGCAAGTAATTTGTTTCCACTCACACTTCAGGGGTCACAATTCTTTCGATCACCAGCTGAGCAATTCGATCACCCTTCTTAACTGTGCCGTGAAATTAAATAAATTGAATAGAAATCAGATGGACAGCTCAATAATGGGGTCAGATAATCGTTGGAAGTGGCACCATACCTTGGAAGTCTTGTTCGCCATGATTGAACAAAACAACTCCAACCGGGCCCCGATAATCTTCATCAATCACGCCTGCTCCGGTGTTAATTCCGTGCTTAACAGCGAGCCCAGAGCGCGGTGCGACCCGTCCGTATGTAGAGGGTGGTACGGCGATCGTGATGTCTGTTGGTACAACTGCTCGACCTCCTTTGAGAATCGTCGTATCCTTGGAAGCGTAAAGGTCATATCCTGCGGCAAACTTGCTCCCCCTTGTTGGGATCGTGGCGTCGGGCGAAAGTCGTTGGACTTGAAGAATATCGGACATCGAAGCTGCCATTGAATAATTGATCTAGTCGACTTGGTCGGAGAAGGCGTGAATATTCAGAAAGGAACAAAACGTTGAGCAACTGCGAGCTTGAGGCGCTTACATATGAGAGTAGTGACTTACTTGTCAAGTTACAGAAGGAGATTTTCAACTGGAGTCCTGGAAATTGTGCTTACTCCTGAGATGTTTTGGCTCCTCTAGTCGCGTCGGTAATCCGAGACGCGCCTTTGAGCAGCTCGCCAAGAGCAGTGAAAGGCGAGTGAACCTCCCTGTGACTCCGGACAGCCATGCAGCTGGCGGGGCCCCTTTTCAAGTTGCAAGTGTAAGATTATGGAAAAAAAACAATGAGTTCCGCGACTAGACTTGTTCGAGTGCAAATAGAAAGATGAGATTGCATGATGAAAATGAGAACAATACAAACCTGTAAGATTATGGAAAAAAAACAATGAGTTCCGCGACTAGACTTGTTCGAGTGCAAATAGAAAGATGAGGAAACTCGAATAGTCTGTCGCGGATACAACTTTATAAATCTTTTGATTATGTAACAAGATTTATGTGTATGTGAAATGAAAAAGACAAAAAGGAAAAATATGAAATATAATCTGACAAAAAAGGAAATATGAAATGAAAACATGACAGAGAAAGACATTATGACATTATGTGAGCAAATAGTTCTCAGTGTTGTCACCCCGGATTCTTACAGCCCCTCCCAACATGAAGAACTTTTGCCTATCAGTAAAGAGAATAAGAGTAAAAGAAGAGGAGAAGAAGAAAGAAAGAAAGAAGTAAAGAAAATATAGGGAAAAAAAAATGTAGATAGGGAGAAAACTAAGTGGGAATGTCTCTAACCGACAGGCCTTTCAACCCTGCAAGATGCTTCGCTGTGCCAAGTCGTTTGGTGAATATATCAGCTAATTGAAATTGGTTAGATATCCAGTACAGCTTCACTTGATATTTCCGGACAAAGTCATTGACAAAGTAGAATGCTCTTTGTAAATATTTAATCTTCTTCTTGGAAGCATTGTCCGTCGCCGTCAGTACCGCCGCTTGGTTGTCACACAGGATTTCATACGTTGACACTGGGCACACATCGTCGAGAACAATTTTGATGTTGGCTAGAGTTTGAGTTGCTATGGACAACGCAACATATTCGGCGGCGCAAGTGGACATGGCCACAACGTCTTGGTGTTTTGAACCCCATGTTATGGGATTGCCGCAATGCTGCAGGAGGAAACCGGAAGTCGATTGTTCGTGTTCTCCTCCCCATCCCGCGTCGACGTACAACCGCACCTATTCCTGTCCCGGTGTGAAACAAATCGCTTTGTGTGTATTCTTCTTGACATACCCCACAAGGTGATCGAGAGCCAACCAGTGTTCGTGAGACGGTCGACTACTATAACGAGCTAGCATGTTGACCGCATATGTGATGTCTGGTCGCGTCCCACATGCCAAGTACATGAGTGAGCCAAGGACTGACCGAAAGCCAGTCTCTTCGATTGTGTCCGATGTCGAAGTTTCCAGGGGGGACTCCGGCAGGCTGGTGTTTTGGTGGACAACCCGGCGTTGATAGACAGACACGACCTGTCTAGCCAACAAATGTTGCTCCAAGAACACATTACCTTCCCGGTGATGAATGTTGATACCGACAATTTGATCGACGGTCTCCTTCCACTTAACTTCCAGATGTTCCACGAGGCCCCTCCGTAGATTGTCAATTGCGGCTTGAGAGTTACTGACGACAAGTCCGTCATCAACATGCATCCAGATGAATATTTGTACCTCTTCACGGCGATAAACGTATAGAGATGACTCCACCTCAGAGGACTCAAAATCAAGCTTGCTCAGAATGGACTTGAAGTGCAGCCACCAGCATCGCCCCGCTTGTTTCGTCCCGTAGAGTGCCTTCTTCAACCAAAGCACCTTCCCTTTCAGTAGCGGGCGAAGTTCGGTTGGGGGTTTGACGTACACCTCTTCATCGATCGGACTGTATAGGTAAGCTGAGCTCACATCAAACGAATTCATGATATAACCGAACTGTATAGCAATTGAAATAAGGAGACGGAGTGTCGCTAACAAAGCAGTGGGAGCATAGGTGTCACGGCAATCAATTCCAGGTCGTTGAGTAAAGCCGCGGGCAACATAACGGGCTTTGAATAAGGCAATTGCCCCGATCACGTCGCGTTTCAAGGCAAACACCCAACGTGCCCCTATGACCTTAGCACCTTTCACGGGATCAACCACATCCCATACGTCCAATTTCTCAAGTTGTGATAGTTCCCGTTCCGCAGCCTCACACCAGTCATTAGAGTGGGGTCCTGAAAGTGCTTCCCGAATATGGTTGGGGATATCGACATCAGATCGGACAGGCAGAGATTCAATGGCACGATGTTGGATAAGGGCTTCTTCCTCGGTGCGCTCCTGGCCTAGTCTAAGGTTGTTGAGGAGGAACGATATGTCATGCTTTGTGGTGGGAATCTCCGCTACAGGTAGCTGCTGAAAGGCAGGAAATACCGCGTTTGTAGACTGGATGAACGTCTTCAAGTGCTTGTTATAGAAGACCCAACCCTTCTCCGACGCTGGGTATCCCACAAGAAAACATTCGTCGGCGCGTGTATCAAACTTATTGGCCCGCTTATCCACTGGTTTAAAAACAAGAGCCCTCGCCCCAAACGGGTAGATGTATTCTGGGACTGGGGCCTTATTGTAGAGGATTTCAATTGGAGTCTTGGGAAATATGCGAGAATGTGGTAGCCGATTGTGAAGGTAGACTGCCACCTGTTGCGCGTAGCTCCAAAATTGTTGAGGAAGCGAGCAGTTAAGCATCATAACCCTTGCCATGTCGTTGATAGTACGATTCACACGTTCAGCTTCGCCATTCTCCTCAGGATGGTATGGTGAGGAATGTGCCAAAGTGATTCCCCGGGCCTCAAGTATGGTTTTGAGTTTCTTCGAGATGAATTCCCCGCCATTGTCGCACCTCAAGAATCGAGGAAAGCGACCAACTCGAGTTTTGATTGTGTCAAACCAAACTTTAAGACGCTCAGCCACATCAGACTTCTGCTTCATAGGCGTTATGAGCGTATACATGGAAGCATGATCCCGTAGAGTGAGGGCAAACTGATTGCCGTGGATGTCTTCGTCGAATGGACCCATGACATCAGAGACGACCAGGTCCAATATATTGTCCTTTGGAACGGTGGACAGGGGAAGAAAACATTTTCCGGTTTGTTTGGCAACAACACATTTCTCACACAAGAAAGGCTTCCAGGTTTTAACACAGTCTGCGTCCACAAAGCGTTCAAGGAACTTCAGAACAGCCTTGTCGTTAGCATGTCCAAAACGTTCGTGCCATTTGATTGCCTCCATGCTTGGTTGGTTGGACATAGAAGCAAGGACGATTTCATTGCAGACTGGAGGTGGATCATCTTTAGTTACGAGATTCCAGCAGAAATTTGAAAATGTAGTACGGAAAACACGATGTTTGTGAACTAATGACATGGTACAATCTTTATCAAAGACCGGTTGGAGGCCGTATGTCGTGAGCATGCCAAGCGACAGAATAACGTAGGGAATGGACGGATGATGATAAACGTTCTTAATCCTAATCGTTCCGCTGGGAGTCGGGATCCTCAGACTGCCCACGCCGGTGAGGGTCATGTTTGATTTGCGCGAAGCAAGAAGAACGGTGTGGTGTGCTGTGCCTGTTCCAATGCCAAAAGCATACAGCAGAGGTGTTGGGATAGCAGAGTTACATACATGTGACAATCATTACAAGAGAAGGAACAATCATTATGGATGAGGTGTGGTATATACGGACTGGATTACATACAATGAGTGGATTGGGAGAACATGTCTCAACCAGGAATGGAACGGAGGAGCGGTGTGTAATAAGGGTACTTTATGTTTTACGCAAGGGTACAGGGTACGGATTGTAGAAAGTGAAGGGAGGAAAAATATTGAGGCGGAGGGAGGAAGGAAGGAGTGAGGAGAGGCTTTGACCCCCAAACTCTGGATGGAAGGAGATAACAGAAGGTCTGGCAGGCTGGTACTGCCTATGCAGAGTGTTCTGGAAGATGGCTTGGTTACCTGGCGACACATGACATCATGCTGCGCTTGGTTCTGGAAGATGGCTTGGTTGCCTGGCGATGCATGACATCATGCTGCGCTTGTGTGCTCCCTTGCATGCATATTATGTGACAAGGTCTGGAGTTAAGTGTTCCTAGCACAGCATGAGCTGCGCTATTTGTTTGGAGGCTGTGCGCAAAGGCTGTGCAGGTGAGATCCCCTGCAGCAATATTCCCTCACAAGGAGTCCCCTGCAGCAGAAATCCCTCACTCTTCAATATAAAAGAAGGACCTCTCCCCACCAGAAAGTCTCTTCTCCCCATCAGCCTACTGCGGTAAGTTTGATCACCCAAGTCGAAGAATAAGTAGTAAGTGAGTGAGTTAGTGATAAGTAGTGAATTAGTACAGTATTGTAAGCGTGAAACCAACACAGAGTTCGGAATTTGAAGCATATTAGTAGTAGTAGTCATCATATAAGTAGTAGTACATTAACAATTAACCAATAACAAGTAGTAGTAGTATTAGTACCGGAGCTCTAGTTTTTGATTAAAGTGCCTTAGCAAGAAATTGTTCGAGGAAGAGATCATTAACAAACTCTATAACAAATTATCTGTTTCGTGCTCAAGTCATCAGCACCACAGTTTCCATTATTAACCTGAAGTTGTAACAGGTTCATTAGTAGATTGATACGTGATCTAGGTCTGATAGAGATTACTTTACGAAAGTAAGATCTATCTTGGAATCAGCCATACATTATTAAATATTGATTACAAGACTCTTAGTTATTTGTTTAGTACATTTAGAGGGGCAGGTCTTTCAAACCACCCGTAAGTTGTAATAGCCTTTCAACCTATTTGCAATTTATTTCCCCCCTCAAGGGATCTTTTGATATACATATACTTTACCGTGTCTATCCGTCCCAGGAGTCCTACAACGGGGACGGGATTAGTTAACCTCCGTTCAAAAGTGAAGAATGGTGAGTTGCCGCTTACGCAAGCTGAAGCACCAGAATCGATGAGGACGGTGTCGTCGTTTGGGGCTGAAGTGTCGATTGCCCTGACACGTACATGTCCTGGCTTGGAAGACGACTGGACAGCGTTGGATACCGGTGTAGCGATTTGCCCAACGTCAAGTTTCCCATCTTGAAGGTCGCGTGCCAGACGACGGCAAGTGGACGCCCAGTGTCCTTTGATCTTGCAATAATTGCACTCCGACCCCTTCTCGGCCATCTGACTGCTGGTAGGCTGAGTGCCCTTGTAAGCTAGTGCGTTGGCCAACGCCTTGTTACCAAAAGTTTGGGTTTTAGGCGGATCAGAGCGGCCTCGCTTCATTGGTTGGTTTGAGGGAGCAACCCGGTTGACGAGTATAGGATTGTCTGACGTTCCAGTATGGAGCTCGCCTTCTACCTGAGCAATTTGCTGGCAGACTTTGTCAAGGGAAGGCACCTCAGACAGAGTGTTGAGACGATGGTTGATGTTGTTGCGAAACGAGTTTTCGTCAACATCGATGGGAGGTTTAGCAACAGATTGAAGTATGAGGCCGAAAAGTTCCTCCGTCGAGATTTTCTTCTGCTTGACGTCGAAGTAGAATTTTTGGAACTGAGAGATGAGCTCGTCGTTGGAATGTTGGCGTTCAGACTGGTAGAAGTCGGTAAGTTGCGCAATCAACTCAAGCTTGTTCTGGCGGTCGTTGCGTTTACAGCTGGCCTCGAGTTTAATGAAGATGTCTTTGGGTTTGCGGGTCGATGCGACAATGGCCAACAAGGTCGGCTCGAGGGTCGAACGAAGCAGGATCACAAGAGAAGGTTCTTGGTCGTCATGGACAATGAGCCAGTTGGTTGTTTTTGACAAGAAGTCTTCGCGTCTGAAGACAAACTCGAGGGTTGTGTTGAGTTGCTGTTCCCATGCAGAATAGTTCTTTCCACCAAATTTCAGATACTCAACGTTGGTGTGAATCGAGCGGTGAAGGGCCATCAGATCCTTCATGAAGTGTTTTTGATGAAAGGAATATTGAGGAGTATCGACAGTTCGAGGGGTTTCTTTGCGTTTGGGAAAGTGTGGTGGATTCTCCCTTGAATTGGATAGAGTGTCAGTGAGAGCGTTGACCGCTTTGATTACGCCGTCAATCTTCAAATCGAGTTTAATGACCTTATGATCGATGCGGCCGATATCGTTCCGGGTTTCGTGGTTGCCCGCTTGAATGGTTCTGAATTTAATGTCGAGGTCTTTGAGGTTATGGATGATTTGTTCCTCGGACAATTCCCCTGGGATGAGTTGACTGAGAGAGGTCAAGGTGGAATCGGATCTTTCCTGCGGTTGGTCTGTCACCTTCCCCTTGGAAGTGGAACCCTTTTTACTCATTACGAATTTACGATGAGAGTCGGTAGGCTGGCTTTTAACCTGTAAGATTATGAAAAAAAAAACAATGAGTTCCGCGACTAGACTTGTTCGAGTGCAAATAGAAAGATGAGATTGCGTGATGAAAATGAGAACAATACAAACCTGTAAGATTATGGAAAAAAAACAATGAGTTCCGCGACTAGACTTGTTCGAGTGCAAATAGAAAGATGAGGAAACTCGAATAGTCTGTCGCGGATACAACTTTATAAATCTTTTGATTATGTAACAAGATTTATGTGTATGTGAAATGAAAAAGACAAAAAGGAAAAATACAGCAGTTCCCAGAAAGCTTGCTGTCGCGAGCTCCTGGGATCCCAATTTTTTTTTTTTTTGTGCCTTGATTTTTTTTGTTTTTCTGTCCTGTACGTGGCCTCGTACAGCCATAATATTCCAGGCATCATGGCCCAACTCCCCCATTTTTCAAGTTGAAGATATGGGAGTTGGACCATTGGATTCCTCTCATTTTTTTGAGTTGGAACCGGTCATTACATCCGCTGCACCCAGCCCCCACCAGGCAACCGACAGGTGCCCGGAGGCCTCACCCGGCCTCGGCAGCAGATTTGCAACCTGTACAGTCATGTGTACAGGTTACGAGGCGCAAAAAAAAGTCGAAAGAAAATAAAAAAAATCAGATCCCAGGAGCTCGCGAGCGCAAGCTTTCTGGGAACTGCTGTATGAAATATAATCTGACAAAAAAGGAAATATGAAATGAAAACATGACAGAGAAAGACATTATGACATTATGTGAGCAAATAGTTCTCTTTTTTTTTTTTTTTTTTTTTTTTTTTTTTTTAAGTGTAAGTTTGGCCTTTGGCATTGCACACTATGAATATCATTATTTCTACCTACAAGCTTTTTTGTATGTTTGTAGCATGGTTTTTCCTGTACTTGGTCTATGGGGGCAAGTTCTGTAGAGGATGCGGGAGTGTAAGAGACAGTTTCATCTACTTAAGGATTTTTATAATTGGGGGACAGATTGGGTGCAACCATTTTTCAGGCTGATTCAAATTGGGTAAAGGGTGTTGAAAGTGAAATTGGGGGTTTTTATAAAGGGGACAACTAATAAAGGGTTTTGAAAGTGAAAATGGGGTGGTGTGTAGTTGTCCAAGATCGGAAGTGGTAGCGGCCAGGGGTTGGGTCTGCCGGGATTCGAACGCCGGACTCGTCACTCTCTTCGAAGTGATTATACTATGTCGTCGCAGGGGAGACACCGAGCTTCCGTGGGTGATGGTTACCGCTAGGCCATCCAGGCCCTCATAAATAGTTCTCAGTGTTGTCACCCCGGATTCTTACAGCAAGACCCCTGTGAGCCCAGCTGCCATCCATCGGCCCCTGAAATACACCCGGCCTCCCGTCCCGTCCTTGCGCAACATTGCCGACGAAAATAAATAATTCAACACGAAAGATCCGTTCAACCGAGAGAAATGCAAACGGAAGCGAGCGAATCACCCCCAGCCTCGTCTACGAGCCCAGATGAAGTCCCACCTGTCATCGAGCACGAAACCGGGAAATTACTGTTCAACACCGAGGCACACAACAGCACTTTCCAAGCGGATCTCAAGGCAATTAACAAACAGCACCGAGATGTGTAAGTCCTGAATTCTTGAAGAAGAAGAATCCCATAGGCACTGATAATTTCCATATCGCTTATTTTTTTTACCGACCCATTCTCTTTGCATTTTCTTTGGGTGAGTCTTTTGGAGACATTCATGTGGTAAAGGACTTGCAGATTGCTGACTTCTTCTTCCCCCAGACTCAAAAAGCTATAACCGACTGCATTCAATTTCCGAAGATTCTGAATTCGTGACCCAAGTGGTGAACCGATATCGACCCTTACCTGTGATCGGTTAGTATATTGCATTCCAATTGAAAGAAACGGGATACAATCATCAATGGCACACAAGAATCACTTAATATCATGATTGTTGAAATTTCACGCTTTTGTTGCGACGTCTCATTCAGTTCAGCAAACCTAAGATGTGGGGCATGGTACATTGACCCATCCAACACCACAGTAGATTGTACCGCTTATTTTAAATCAACTGATGGCCATGATGGTCAGTGGCAATTTTCTCTACGAAGGTGAGCTCGAATTATCATCCTCGCTGAACTTCGTTCTAATCTAAATTTGATGATTGCTTCAGGTCGAACCTTCAGTTACTCCATGTGATCATCTCTTCCGGTGGAGCTATCCTCGTGGACTCTACTCGGCGTGGTAAGGTGAGTCCGTTTTGTGTAGCTCTTCCATCATTCGTCACACCAAAAGCTAAGCAGTTTCATTTTTATTTTTCATTCCCTTGCTTCAGAGGTACCCCGATGCACTGTCTAAAACGGTACCATTATGGTGCGCTGTGCTCAATGCGGGACGTGCAAAACTACTTGACCGTCACCCGATCGCTCCAAAGTTGCAGTCCGCCTGGCAGCGACACATGTCCTCGACTGGTCTTACTACGCCCGTCAATGCTGTTCGAAGTAGTGAACATGATCAAATTCAACGGTTGGTTGATGGTTGGGCGGACCAACTCCTCGTGAGCTGCTTGATCGCATCATTCTCTGGTGGAATTCAAAGTTTTAACTCGGACACCAGGCCTCTTCTTTCAACATCGAGGACACCCTCGCCCAGCTAGATCGACCTCTCAAACCCATCTGGGTCTCACCTGCAAGTGATCTTGGTAAAGATTCAATGGAAGATTCAAATGCACTCGACTTTTATCCTGTGATTTGCCTAAGTGCCAGTAAGTACCTGGGTGATCATGCATCCCTTGATCGAGCGGGTGGATTCGATTACATCCAAGGAGCTGGTAAGAGAGTGACTTGCTCCATTTCATCAGCCTTTGAGGGTCAAAATTAATTTATCAAACTACAGGTGACGATCACGAAGGATGGTCGAGAGGATTAACGCCCAAATTGTTTTGGGAGAACCGCCTTCAACTCTTGTCAGCAAATCGCCCTGAGCTGGACTCTTTAATAGATCGGATTGTTTCATCATCGCTGGATAACACATCCTCTAACTTCAAGCGCGTTGAAGTTTTCGAAGTTCGGGCAACCAAACTGTTTATCTGTCTGCCGAACGACTTGGATAACAATCGACCCACAGAGGACGAGCTTGATGTCATCATTTCTGGTGGTAACTCGATCGAACTGAAGTGCAAGAAGTACAAATTAGAAAATACGGTCGCTGTTAGTAAAAGCCGGGCGATGAAGAACTTCTCAACGGCCTTGTCAAGCGTTTTGCCAGACTGTACGCAAATGATGAGAGAACGCAAAGCCGTCCGGCTCACTGCCATTGGTCCCAATTTGAACGAATCGAAAGAGATGATGGTTGCCATCGGATTATGCTTACTAGGTCAGGAAGACAACGGGTTGTGTTGAATTTGACAGTGCTCAGATGATTGCACTAATCTTGGATTTAATTTCACAGTTAACGTTTTCGATGATCAAGGTCTACATCGCAAGGAGGCCCCACAACGAATTGGTGATTAAGCGCTTCAGCTGTCTTAATGAGAAGTAGGTTCCTGACACTCCTGAAAATTTACTTTGGGACATTATAGAAAAAGTCGATGTTCGTCACAGGTTGCATTGGATGATTGAGGCCTCGAAGGGGACTATAAATCCGCCGAGATCGATCCTGAAGAGAGTTAACAATTACCTCATTGGGTGATCTTACTGTTCAGGTGCTTATCATCTCCTTTGTCCATGACCAATTCATTCAACTACGGGGGACAAGCCTGCTTTGCCATGAAACAAATTCAAATGAATTACCTCATCGTTACATTTTCGAGATCGTGAAAAAGGATTTGTTGAGGATTTAACTGAACTGGGACCAGATTCAGAGCAGCGTTGACACTGAGTTTGGCCCATTGGTAATCCATTCAAAAAGAAATCCGGAAGCCCAGTTATTGTTGTTTTTTTCTTCGACTCATCAGCCTAGATTCATGGTGTGTTCTTGATGAACTTGAGAGAGTTTATCATCAAGTATGAAACGATTCGGTTCATAGGTTTGTTGAACAGGTTGCATTCCAAATTGGGAGAACATATAAAAATAGGAAATGGCTTGAAAAAACGACATGTATTATGGGAATTGTAGGTATCGTTCGGATAGCAGAGAAATGAGAAGAAGAAGAAAAAGGAAAAGCAAGAGAGAGAGAGAGAGAGACAGAAAGAGAAAATAAGTACAAGTTTGCTGGGATATAGAATGAAAGACTTTGGTAATAGGATGAGGTTGGTCCAAGAAAGAAGAGATGAGGATAGGCGCGGAGACATGAAGGTGAGATTCCAGAAGAAGAAAGTCCGGGCGAAATTCGATGCAAGATGTACACATATAAACGATTGCAGAAAGAGGTGGCTTCCAGAAGGATGACAAATGAAGATCCACGCTCAGGAAAAGATTGATTCATTTTTGTCCAATGGGTTGAAAGAAAAAGGGTTAAGCAATTTGAGGATGATGATGCCAGACGATTCACAGGCATTAAAACTCTTGAAACCTGACACGATAAGCCTTCTTTGGGCTCGAGTTAGGAGGCGGCGGGGGTTCGAAGAGATGGATCGAGGAGAAAGAGGAGCGTCCGAAGGGGCCACAACTGGAGCTTCGCCGACTGACGCGTTCGGGGAGATGGCCGGGCATATAGCGGGTGGAGCTTTCGCAATCGGAGAGGAAGTCCGGATGGTTCTCGGCCGAAGCGGGCTCGATCTTGTCTTGCAGAGCGGGCAGCTTCAGGGACCGCAATCCGCCTCGGACGGTCCTCGTCAACTCGGCTGCAATCGAGATCTTTCTGTGGGATCTTCTCCAGGTCTTGGAGAGCTGGAAATCCAAGGCATCCGACTTGCACGGGATCTTCTTCTCATCAATCGCCCGGGTCCCGAAGAACACGTGCAAGTTTTTCCGGCGATGCGACTCGGAGGAGCCGGTTGGATGCTCGAGCTCGCTTTCGTCCTCGCTCTCGACCTCCGCCGGTGAAGTGATGGCTGGCGGATATTGGGAGGGCCACAGCGGCGAGAGGGTCTCGGTGTTCTCCAGGGGAGGTGTGGCTGAGAGCCAGGCTCGATGGTCTTGGACCTGCTGCAGCTTGCCATTCGTTCCTATCTGCCGGGATGCTGGGATCCGACTTCTCTCGGAAAACGGAGTCCAATGGTTGGAGGACAACATCGGCGAATCAGGTGAGGAACCACTGCGGATACTAGGCGGATACCGGCCGCTTGAACCGGACTGTTGTGACTCCTGAGGCTCAGAACTGTCTGAGGACGTGGTGTGACTCGGCGGCGATGCTTCATCGACAGACTCGCAAGGCCCGTCCTCATGAGCCCCGCCGGACTTGGATTTCTCGATTTCGTCCAAGGCGTGTTTGAGTTGCTGGACATAGAGTAGCGGTATCTCTGCAGTGCTTGGTATCTTCTCCCATCGATTCAGTAGTTCTATCAGAGATGAGCCAGGCGTAGGTTCTGAATGGTGTGCTTGGAGGTGTGCGCTGGTACACTGATCATTCGGGCCACCTCCGATTTCACTAGCACTGTCGACAGAGATATCTTCAGGCGCTTCAATGGGTGAATCATCATAAATGGAGATATATCGTCCGGGAATTTTGATGTCCAAGCTACTAGGTCTTCGTCTTGAAACCAGCCGGGGCTGCGGTGAAAAGCATTGCTGCTCATCAGATTTGGGTGGGAGTCCTCGGGAGGCTTCGCCGGCTGGTTGTGCCGGTCCTCTATTCCAGCTCAGACAGCGTCTCTGCGATGGCTGATGGATCACGGTACGTGGGACAGGCTTTTGGAAAGCCGATTGCCGCATCGCGCTATTGAAAGTGGTGTATAAGGGAGCAGAGGTCGGAGGAGGATACGATGAGCAGCCGTCGTCCATCTGGATTTTCGGGACCTCCGCTTGAGAGATGATACTGCAGCTGTGGCTCATCGTTGACATCGCGTCCTCAAAAGTGCACGTCTCATTCTCAGATTCATCAGAGGGCTCCTTGTCATCGTCCACAATCATGTTAGCCACGGAAAGGGTCGAGCTCGGATAATCGGTGGGAGAGCTGGGATCAGTCGGGGAACGGCACGAATCGGTGAACGAATATGTTAGAGAGCGTTCTGATTGACGCGTCGTAGGCGAATTATCAGGCAAAGCTCGGCAGACAGCTTGCTGTCTGGGTGGCGTGGGGTTCATGGGCGCGTTGGCGCTGCGATAGGTGGAGGCAGCAGCATCATCAAATATGGGGTTGAGCTGGCGCGTAAATACCAAAGGACCTCGCCTTTCGGCCGGTTTGAGGTAAGCACCGTAGTACTTGTGTCTGACGCCTTGAGTGGCTGGAGCTCGGGAGGTCCCCAGAGTATCATTTGTGACCGGCGACTGCTCTGTTCTTGGGGCACCCGTAATAGAATATCTGTGGTGCAAGCTCGCCTGTCTGTTGTATCTAGATTCAACGATTCAAAATCATAAGCTCATGCCATTGAGAGAAGTATGGAAAGCGTGATGGGGAACCAAGAGACTAACTTATGAGAGGGGACCACAGTACAGTTGGAGTCCTCAACCGAAAACTTCGAGGGGGGGATCAGGTGCTGATAGATACCCATGATAGGATCACGTCGGGGGGCATATGGAAGCCGACTGAATGGAGGCTCCTGCCGGTTACCAGTGAAACTGTGTCGACCCGATCTTTCGTCGCTGATTGGTTGACCATTCGCTACGGCATCCTCCCGGAGCCCATCAGCGGGTGCAGGTACGCAAAGACGGTCCATGTGGTTGGGTGATACGCCTTGGATCTCACTTGGCTTCTTCACTTAATTATTCAGATTAGGAATCAACGCAGACGTGCTGAGTGAAAATTAAAGTTCAAAGAAATGAACGTCAGATCCTGCCCACCGGTCAAGTTAGAGTGAAGACATATTTACTTGTGTTAGCCCAGGATCATCGACCAGGAATATATGTTGCTAGTGGCTCTTCGCAGTAAATCAGGGTGCAATTGGGTCTTTTCGGTCACTCTTCAATCAGAAAAACAGAAGCAATCAGTATAAAGAAGTGTCCGTCCAGCTGCGCTCAGAATGGATGTATTCTATCTTTATGGAGGATGAACGAGTGGCACCTCTTCGGCGTCCAGTCTCCAGTCCCTCCCATGAGCAACCCTCTGTTCTGAAGGCTTCATGTACGAATTCGTCACTGGACGTGAGTTTCTGAACCACGCCTTGTGGCATGCGTGGTGAATGGATGGTTAACATGAGCCCAAGTCTCTCGCGCACGCCAAAAGGGACATCACGTAAGAAAGTGTTGTACAACTCAGCCCAACTTAAATATCGTGGTTTGTTTTTTTTTTGTGTACAGACAGAACAACGTCGGAACAGGCCTCGCCAGACTTCGACTGGCAGCTGGCAGCACTGTCACTGCCCGAAACCGCAATTGGCATCGAGCTCTTCATCCACCGGTGTACCCAAATTCCCAAGCATCCAAACACAAGGATCCATCTTTTTTGAGTCAGTTTGATGGCCTTGGAGGTGCAGCATGGCCAACGGGCCTCGACCAGCTTACATCATGAACCACAAGGCCTTACGCATCTTAAGATTAGGCCAGTTCACGTGTGCATGTACGGTTACCTGCTGCCCATGCACCGCTGACGCCAGCCGGTGAACCTTACAAATCAGACTTTTGCCAGTATTCATGATTTCATCGTTCAGGAAAGTATTAAAGTTTGCGGGGCACTTCGTCTTTAGAATCAGGATCTCACGATCTGTTTCTTCTTTTCACTATTATAACCATCCAATGATTTGTAGTAATTATGGTTTCCTTTTGACACGAAATTGTACATAAATATATATTTGATTGACAAGTAAAAACAGGGTTCATGTTTCTCTTTTGACAAAGTATGATACAAGAAAAAACCTCGATTAGTTTGCCTTGATTGATTTAAGTATAAAAGAAATAGGGAGTGTGGAACAACAGTAACAAAAAAAAAAGAAGTGAAGAGTTCAGTAGGTTAACCTCGAGAAGTAAATCCAGGGATCAGAAGAGAAGAGATAAACCAGCGGGGATTGAGAGCAGGATAACTGAGATCGAGAAGTCTAGCGGGCATGAAGTACTGCCGTCTGAAGGGGACGGTGGTGATGAGAGTGAAGAGATAACACCAGACCACCCCGCCGCCGGGGATGTATGGGAGCAGGAAGGGCTCCACAATTACCCCGATGGGCTGTAGTAGGAAGTAGATCGCCGAGCCGGGGAAGTCGTGGAATAGGATGTGCGGACTCGGGTGGGGCTGTCTGGCTATGAAATGAATGGCTGTTTTTGTTTTGTTTCAGAGAAAAGACAATGACGGTTTTTTTTTGGAGGTTAGGCTGCATGCTCTCTTCTCTCCATTTTTTTTTTGGATAGTTTTCAAAGACTGTAGAAATGAAACTGCAGAGAAAAGGTGGAACTGACCATACTCGTGCAAGATTGCACTGATCAAAAAGCAAGCCCACATCCCAGCGAGCCGTTGCAACTGGGGCCCGAGTCTGAGAGCCTTCGCGATTTTCGAGGCGGGGGTACCCCCGCAGATGAGGAAAGACTGGCGGAAGTTCTGGTGCCAAGCCTTGCCCCAAAGATGGGCGAGCGAGGGGGAAGTATGAGGGCTGTTGAACATGGGCACACAGGTCCTGAGGTCGCAGGAACGGATGAGCCATTCGGGGAGCCGGAGGAGCCGGCGATCGATGAGGTGGAGCAGATGGATGAAGAGCGTCATGTAGCTGAAGATCAGCTCGATCATGCTGACCAAATAGTAGCCGAACCCAAGACTCGCTAGCCCCTCGGCTACGATCGTCTCCCCATAAAACCCCCCGAGCCCCATGTATCTTAACGCATTCGTCGCCGAACCTTCGTCCCGACATAGGATCGAAAACGAGGTGGCCATCACATGGACTAGGTTCAGCTTATACATCCGTACAATCACATCCATCGCACTCTCCGTATTCGGCGCTGCCTTGACTCCCCATCCATATTGTATGCCTCTCGGCCTGTGAAGTAAGTTTGAGTCAGAAAAGGAATCTCGACTGAGACATTAGATAAAAATAAAAAGAAATGGACTGACGAGGAGGTAAGTTCGATAGTCCAAGCCAGCCAATCGGAAAACGAGACAGAAGGGGGAGTCTCCTCTGGCTGATTTTTTTCTGCTAGCTGGGTTGAACCAGAGGGGGAGGGAGGCTGTGGATGATTGGGAGACTCGAATCCGGGGCGTTTCCAGATCTTTCCGTCGACGAAGCTATGGAGATAGCCCCACTGGATCGACCTAGCCGCCATGGTGAAGCAAGCACAAGCGAGAGCCAGATTAGGATAACCGCGCCGGGTGGTGGGAGTGAAGCAATAGTCGACCGGCAAGCGGAGGCTGCTGTAGACGCTCACGGGGGTCATGAGCAGACGGAGCCATCGCACCCATCGCAGCCCACTCAGGTGGGGATACAACAGACCGGCTTGGAGTAGTCCGGGCAGGAGATAGAGGAGGGAGAAGACCGTGACCGAGCGACAAGGAACTACTTCGTATGGATTCGTGTAGGTCTTGATCAGCGGATCGTTTGCTAGGATCGTTCTTAGATAATCGAGCATCTCGAAAGGCCTTCTAACACGTATCGATGGTTGTATCTTTGATCAGGGATAAGTTTTGATGGGATGGATAAACGAGATTAGTTCTGGCACTGAGTGTTCTCCTGGATATTTATTAGAGGGAGCCAAGGGGGGGCAAGAGCGACGACAGGAGAAGGATTATTTTACATCAGCTACATAAGTACACACCTTTTATTTTCCGAGAGCTGTATAGTAAGAACTGACCCCAATCGATGCCTGGGGTTTTTCTTTTTTTTCATCGGAGGCCTTGAAGAGTGAGCCATCCATGTATTTATTTGAGTAGATCAAACGTAATAGTGAGCCAGCGACAGCACAGGATATACTTTCGGGATATGCAATGGCCAGTGGACTGCCCCCCTCGGGTTTCCCCAGACATCTCTTGGGCCTTGGCTAGCGCTGTTCGATCGGCGGCCGTTCCAACATCCACCATATGTATTTATGTATATCTAGCCTTATCTAGCTCGCTGGAGGAGGAGCTGGCCGGTGAGTTCGAACGGCGAGAATAGCGAGGGGCGCCACACAGATCTTCTTAGTCATCCCGATCGAGCTCCGTGTTCCGTCGATACTCCGAAGACTCCGATGATCCATCATCAGTTCATATTCTACAAATCATTCGAATGACATCAGCTGGTGGATGTATGCGCCCTACATATGTACTCCGATACGCTTGACTCCTTGAGGATAGATTTGGATCGTCCAAGAGGTGCTCAGCTGCAGCATCCCCCCCATGACCAGCTTCAGCCTTCAGCCTTCAACCTCACAGAATGAGCGCATTCAATTTCAAGCAATATGCAGACACACACAACTAGCTGTCCGCCAAGCAACCGATGCTGTTCGGTTCAACTTCTGGGTACAGAAACACAACAACCGAATCTTGCTCTCGATCTCTTGGCTCTCTCCGATTCCGAACACCACAACCTCGCAGGAAACACCCCAGACGGACGGACACAAGCGAGTGACTCTGATTTGATTCTCTCCTGAGTTCGCGCAATCTGACCAGGAATGTTTTTTTTTTTTTTACTTTCTATGTAGACGGACATGTAGGACTCCTTATGCTGATCAAGCTAAACACAAGTTGAGACGGTCGATTGGCCGGTTCCTACGTTGAAAAGGCTCTGATGTAAATCGGCAGGGCGCATACAAACAGAGAGCTGTGGATGGATGAGCTCCTGATGATATTAACTACTCGGTCCCCTTTTCATGTAGTACTCAACCTATTGGGCTTCGAGAGGGCGCATAGAAGGAGTATCCTTGGGGGTATGCCAAATGCTCCTCCAGCTCAACAACATCATAACTGAACATTGAGAAGGAAAGGATCGGGTTACAATGGATCCTTCTTCTGTGCTGAGGGGAATGATGCGTCTGATCAGTACTGAATTGTCGATGAAAGGGTCGACAACATGTTGCGTGCGGTTTGCTGAAGAACTGACTGTTGAGCTAGTGTCCATTGTGAATGCTGAAGATCAATGACTCTCTCTCTTGCTCTGGCTTTGGTTTTCGTCATCCCCGGTTCTATGTACATGGCCGGAATATAAAATGGTCCGAGATCAAGTGGAAAAGGAAACTTAATCATCACCCCTCCCCGAAGCAGTCCTCCGAAAGCCTTCCTGCATCCCCCCGTAGCCCCCGATCCACAACATACACAGTTTTTCGATTGACCAAATCTTGAAATTTCTTATTTTGATCTGCAGATTACCACTTCTACCAGGAAGGATGAGCCAGCTCCTCGAGAGACTACTGGCGAAGTTCTCACCACCCTTGGAACCCGCCTTGATCATCGCACTCAGCTCAGACTTCGACCATGACACTCAGGAGTCAGCAGAACAGGACATCGAGTCAAAACTAGACCACATACTCACTCAACTCATCAACGAACAACAAGAACAACAACAACTAGCCCAAGAAACTCAACCTGAGGAAAAGCAACAACAACTAGTAACAATCCAAACCGATCACTCATCCCAGTCCCAGAAATTAATCAATCAGGTACAGGCCATCCTACCCGACCTATCAGAGACGACGATCTACCATGCTATCTCAGACGCCCCCGAACCCAAGAAATTGGAACAGATCATCGACATCCTATTGGCACCAACACCACCAGCAACAGTAGAAAGCACTCCAAGATCCGACAAAAAGTCAAAGAATAAGAGGAAGAAGAAATTCGACACGATCCATCTTAATGATGTCCTGCAGCGAGAGACACACAAGAGACTGATCGAACAAGCTGGACAGCATCTAGAGAAGACATCGATCAACAATGACTGGGCCATTGGGGATAGTCAGATCAGTTATCTAGCCGACTTACTCGGCATCGAGGTCGGGAAGATCAACAGCATCTATCATCGCAAGAGCTGTAACTTGGTCCTAACCTTGGAAGAACTCTTGAGGATCTCAGAGTCTCAAAAGCGACTCGATGGCTCAAAAGATCAGGATTGGTTCGATCGCTTGAAACTCCAACTAGACTTCCTCAGAACCACCCTACTGACCGAAGATGACCAGGTACTCACCAGACTCTTGATCGTCACCAATCTCAATCCTGGTCATGCACTTGATCTCTGGATCTTCTTGGACGATCTACACGCCCGATATGGTACCTTGCCATTCAACCAGTTCATCTCCAACCCTAGCTCTTCTTCTTCTTCTTATCCCTCGTCATCATCATCAACGGCGGTCTCTCTTCATAACCAGTCCAAGGCTAACCCCCTCATAAGCTCATCCTCATCACCAACAGCAGTAGCATCATCATCATCAGCAGCAGCAGCACCATCGAGACCATTCAGCGTGAATGTACAGCCAACTACTCGGCCCCAATACTCCAGTCGAGAGATCGAGAACAGCGTGATGATTCTACGATCGAGGCGAGAATATCTCAACCAGAAATCACGCTCGTCGCGCCAATTGATCGCCAATAGTCATGCGGTCTCGCACAATAAACAGGCCATCCAGAACTCGATCGCGATGATCTATGCGGAAGGGTCGAGGAGACTGAACGAGAAGATCCAGGATTGGGAGCTCCTTCTGGCTAGGAAAACCGTCCAGGAGCGCCAGCGAATCCGCAACGATTCGCTGTCTATCGACCTCCATGGACTCACTAAACCCCAGGCCCTCATCATCTCTTCTGATTATCTTCAAGCTTGGTGGTCTAATCATTCTTGTTTGTTGTCCTCTCTCTCTCTCTCTTTCTTTCTCTCATCTTGACTGGTTATCTTATCTTATGCTCATCTCATCTCAACTCGACTTTTTTTTGCTTTTGCTTCGGGCGAGTAGACTCGGTCAATAACTTTAACTCTTCCTTCGTTCACCCTTTCAAGATCGTCACTGGAGCAGGAACTCATTCGACCAATTGCAAACCAGCCTTACTTCCGACGATCATGAAATGTCAGTCCTCTCTCTCTCTTTCTGAATCATTTATACGTTTCAAGAAGGTTTGATAAGTTTCCGTCTTGTTTTTCAGTCTTGGATCAAGAGAAATGGAAGTGGAAGGCTGATGATGAACGCTCCAATGGGCTCATTGGATCCGTCATCGTCGTCGGTCGAGCTCGCAATCGAGCTTGATTTCAGCCATCCTTCCACCCATCCTCCTGTGACCTTGTTTTGCAAAAACTGTCTACTTCGTCGTCTTCTGCTACCCTCTCCTATTCTTTGTTTCTTGACACCTCATGGTGTCAATAGTATATTCTGTGTGTGCTCTCTTCCACCAATCATTTTGTTGGTTTGGTCCACTTTCTTCATTTTCTTCTTTACATATATTATACAAAAACAGCTAGAGTGTGGTTTAATTTAATTTTTAATTTTTTCAAATATGTATCTTCACCAAGTATCTTCCAACCAAACAGACAAACAGATGTATTCGTTTAATGCTAATTACCAAACACTCCATCTTCCTACAACTTGCGTGACCATAAACACATCCAGATTTAATTCCCAACAGGACAATTGTTTTTTTGATTTGTTTGGCATACTTGACCCATCTACCTTAATTATGCGCACTTTTTTGGGGGGCAGTCTTCAGTAATCTAATTTGACTCTGAATTCATAGTTTGTGGGGTTTTAGTTGAGGGCAAGTCAAGATGTAGTTGGTCTATCAGTGTGTATGTACAGCCCCTAATTGACAGGAAAAATGGATCCCTTTATGTAAGTGGAGTCTATGTAGAGGGTAATCCATTGACTGGAAATTTATGCAGTCTGGTCAAACTGTAGAAAATTGGAGCTCCATAAAAGTGGTTCTGATATATTGGATAGAAAAAAAAAGCTTTGTAAAATTGAGGGATCATTTTCCTCCTTTTTTTTTAGTTTTTTTTGGGGGGTATTTTTTCAAACATTTTTCAAAGGAGCTATGTACAGTCTCCTCCCAGATGTTTATAGCCATCTGTTTTAAGCTCCACACTGGGAACCCAAAAATTTCAAGTTGCAAGAGTTGGTGGAATGGTGGAAAATGGGTCTCAAAGAATGAAGATGAAAAAAATAATAATAATGATGATGATAATGATAAACAAGATTATAAGATTTGTAAAAAGTAAAAAGGAGAAAATTGATAAACAACAACTGACAGCTCTAATATCTCTTCCAGGAAAAGATGAGATTGCCAAAGTGATAGATAGTATGAGATCTGGAATGAATAACAAGAAGTGAAAATTTGGAAGAATAAAAAATGACTACTTGGTGGTTTGAAAAGGGTGTCTAGAGCTGGGTCATTCATCAAGAAATGCAGCATTCTGATACTGAAATCTACTGATTTTGACTGCAGGGTGTCCACCCACCATGCTCATGCTTTTTTTGGATCAATATTTTTCATCTATAATCATTCTTTTCATGTTCCAAAAACTTGCCCTCTGTGTGTTCACTTAATACTCAAACAAAAAAAATCACAGTTTTCAAAAAAAAGTTGATTTTCTTTTAATAACTTTTTTTCACAAATTTTAAAATCTTGTTTTTTATTATTTCATTTTTTTTCATGTTCATTCTTTGAAACCCATTTTCCACCATTCCAGCAACTCTTATGAATTGAAGTTTCTGTTTTCCCGGTGTGGAGCTCAAAACAGATGGCTATAAACATCTGGGAGGAGACTGTACATACAATCAAGACTCAATACAATTGCATGTAGGTTGGATCCGGATATCCGCGCGGATGCGGATATCCGCTGACAATTTCAGCGGAATCAGGCATCCGCATCCGCATCCGCATCCGATTGCGGGTATCCGCCGGCGCTGGCGGGTATCCGCGCGGATATCCGCGGATACCCGCCCTCTTACTGGCTGACGCTGGCAAGGGGGATTTTTTTTTTACAAAAAAACAAGAAAAGAAAAATAACTGGCCCCCCTCGGCCTAGAGAGGAGAGGCCACGCCGCCGGGAGGAATCCCTCCCGGCGAGCCGGTGTAGTGTGTACATACCAGCTCGTCGGGAGGGGTTCCTCCCGTTGAGCTGGATTTCAAACCAGGTTGTCGGGAGGAGTCCGACTCCCTCCCGGCAAGCTGGTATGTACACCAGCTCGTCGGGAGGGATTCCTCCCGATGAGAGCACCAGCTCGCCAGGATGGACTCCTCCTGGCGAGCTGGTTTAAAATCTGGCTTGCCGGGAGGAACGCCTCCCGACGAGCTGGTATGTACACCAGCTCGTCGGGAGGAATCCCCCCCTCCCGGCGAGCTGGCATGTACCTTGTCAGGAGGGATTCCTCCCGACGAGAGCACCAGCTCGTCGGAAGCAATCCCTTCCGACGAGCTGGTCTGTGTACCACCTCGCCGGGAGGGGTTCCTCCCGGCGGCATGGCCTATATAGGCCGAGGGGGGGCAGTTTGTTGTCTTTTTCTTTTTTTTTTTGTAAAAAAAAGACCTTTTCACTCTCTTGGCACCGGGTATCCCAAGGGATACCCGGATATCCGCCAGGATTTTGGGGGGAAAAGGACATCCGCACCCCCTGGCGGGTATCCGCTGGCACTGGCGGGTATCCGCCAGCGGATGGCGGATATCCGCAACGGATTATCCCGGACCATCTCTAATTGCATGCATGCATAAGAATGATTATAACTGAAAAACAAAATGAGGAAAGAACAATGATGATGAACAGCTGTTTTTAATCAGGTTTGGAATCCGTCATCCACCAGACCATGAACCCTCCAATCAGACACTGAAATCAAATTGAAGTCCAATCTCAGGCCATGTGTTTCTTCTGCTCTCTAAACTTTGGATCATCATTGTGTTTCTTCTGCTCTCTAAACTTTGGATCATCATCACTACTTTTTTTTTCAATCATAATTGATTTAATTCTTTTCACATGTGATTGTTTTGATCCTTATTTTATTTTATTTTTTCAGCTCCTTTGAAAAACAATTGGAAAAAACTCAAAAAAAAAAAAAAAAAAAAAACTTAAAAACTTGAAAAAAAGAGACAAAATATGCAACATTTTCACAACCCATTTTCCAATTCACCTTTCCAGAATGATTCTTTGGTATTGGAAGCAGTCCATTGGAATTTGAACTCTAGACTTCCAGTAAAGGGCTCTATTTTTTCTGTCAATGGGCTGTACACATGTCTGAAAATCCAGTTGATGATGAATTTCACATCCGGCCATAATCATGATTGTCTGTCTTGTTTTCTACAAAACAGATCATGGAAGTACTACTTTATAAACAGGCTGGGGCAAACCCTGTCCTTCAATAACAAGTGTTTAAATCTAGTCAGCTTGACCTTGTACAAGTATTTTAATTGTGTCAGCTTGATCTGGTAATGTATGATATCTTGAACTCTTTGGTTGGTTGTATCTGCTTTGAATCACCACATCACATCACTTGGTCAGACTTTGAAACATCTGGGCCTTTTTTTGGTTGAGGTGTTCACCTTTGTATCTGTGATCCTCAAGTTGTGGATACATGATACATGGCTATTTGCAATCACTAAGAAAAGTAAGTATAAGGTCTGGGATAATTCAATGGGATCACAAGGCAGTTGGTCATTTCATGATCAAAGAACAAAAACAATACAATATTTATATATAGTATTTGTTTTTTTCTGGGTTTCATTTGTTTGATTTGTTTGATCTTCAAAGATAAACAGGTCATCTTTCTTTCTTTGAGTGGATGAGTGGGAACAATAATAGTACATTCAAAGGACAAAGAGATCTCAGACAGAAAAACCCAAAACACTTAGGAAGAAGTTTTTTGGGGGGGGAGAGGGGTTGGAAATGAGAGGGTCAAATCAAGGGAGTCACAAGTATAATAAGATGTTTTGGATTGCAATCCAGAATGATCAAACATAATCTTGAAAATGTGATGGAGTGGTAGGAATACCTATCAGAATTTGTTTAGGCTTCTTGGTCTTTGATGTTTTTTGGTTTGGTTTGGTTGTTGAACACCAATAAATATGACTTGCAAATGATGATCAGATTTTTTTTTCTCTTTTTTCTTTGTCGATTTTATGAAAAACAGATTATGGATATAAATAAGTAAGTTGTAATGTATAGATGGTCAAAAGAAGAAAGAGAAGAAACGTGTATTTGTATATATGTGTGTATATGTATGTTTGAATGTGTTTAAATGAGAGAAAAGAAAAGGACCCACAGGGTCGTATAAATGGACTGTAATCTTCGATGATTGGGTGGTTGAACTGTATGTAAATATATATATGGTTTATTTTTTTCGTAATATTAGTACAAGAGCAAACGAGTTGAAGAAAAAAAAAACAGCCCAAAGTCCGCAGCATTTTTTGAAAATAAAGAAGGAAAAAAAAGATCGATTGAGAGAAAAAAAAGGAACGAAGTTAAGAAAGAAAATGGGAATGATGGTTCGTGAATGCGGGAGGAGGATGAGGGATGAAATGGCTGGTTCCTCTCGTGTATGTATATGTATGCATTGATGAAATAGGGTTTAAAGGATGTCGGATCGCTCTCATCTGTTCTTATATGTAAATATAAGGAAAGAAAACGGATGGTGTTATGGGTTGTTTCCGCAGCTTTTGACCAGAGTATGCCGAATGAGTGCGTCTCTTCGGTTGAATGATCTTCCACATTTCGAACAACGATGTTGTCTTTGATCGATATGCGATGATTTATGTCGGGTTCTATTATTATTATTATTATTGTTATCATTATTAATCAAGAAAGAAGAGAGAGAGAGAGAGAACACATCAATATTTGTTTTGAGAAAAAAAATCACCCAAAAAAAACACGAGATAAAGGACTTACAAATCATAATTCCGGGTGAAGCTCTTGGGACACAAGCTACATTTATATGGTTTTTCTTGAGGGATAGCAGGGATGGCTGGAGAGGGTAGATTGGCCACGGGCTGACTAGGGAACGAAGGTACGATCAGTTCGGGAGGCTGGAGCACTCTAAGGCTATGATGTTGACGAGGAGGATGGTGGTGATTGATCCATGCGGTGGGCTGGGATTGGGCGCCGGGTGTCAGAAGGGCTTCGCTTTCCGGTCCGCTCGAGTATGTCTCGGCCTGTTTCTCAATCACCGACAATAGTTCCATTTCATCCGTCACGCGTTGTTTCGACCATCCACTCGGCTCGGTTGCCCCTGTCAAACACAAAAAAAAAGTCAGAAGCTGATTGAGTAAGTTGGATGGAATATACTTCTGAGTGGGCGTGTGACTTACAAGAGGGAAGGAAAGGTTGACTCTGGTCGGGTGTTGTTGGTTGGAGAGGGGAAGAATGCTGAGACTGGGTGAGGGTGGAAGAGGAAGAAGAGTGGAAACTATTCGAAGGGCTTTCTCCCTCTAGCTCTAGCTCTGGCTCGTCCATCTCGTTAATAATCGTCGATCGGCCGATTGGCTTGTCTTGATTGAGGAGTAGTACCTGCAACTTAGACCAAGACTGGCTCCTAAGATCCATCCCAGCCTGGCCATCCTGACCTTCCTCCTCATCACCCTTGCGCTCCTCCTCATTTAGTCTTACTCGTTTCAGTCGTGATGGATCTCGCTCCATGCCGTCCTCGTAATTCACTTCGTCCAAATAGCTTCCACCGTATCGGCGATAGTCATCCTGCCCCTTTCTCGACTCCTCATTCGCCGTCGAATTCGTCTGGTTGGTGATCATCGATAGTTTCATTTTTCTTTATAGGATCCAAGATCAGTCTGGCTGGCTGGGATAAAGAGAGGAAGCCGAAGCCCAAACAGGTGCCGGTGGGGGAAGGCCTTGAAGTGTGTGTGTGCGAGTGTGACTTTTTTTTAAATAATTTGGAAAGTATGTATGTATGTATCTCAAGCCGAGATGATACTTGAGTATTGGGACAATCGAGAATCTAAATTCGTAATGGTTTATTTGGTGGGCTTTTAAGGTGTATGGGAGGGTTCTTTGGGTGTGGATGTAATAAATAATCTGTACTTATTTGTATCCAACAGAACACAACAAATACCCTTTCGAAGATCGGCTCGAGCTTCTTGAGTTCTTGGATGTCGGTGATCGGCTCTCTCTTGCTCGGTTTTTTTTTCTTTGGACTTGATGCTTGAGGAAGTGAAAGTAAGAATGTATTTATTTATGTATTCTCTACGAGTTTGGAGTTGGCTCGGTGTTGATGAGACGGAGAGATAGGGGAGGGAGATTGCTAGATATTTTGTGTGTGTGTTTTTACTTAAGTTTGGGAAGAAGGCGTCAGTTGAGCTTGGGCGAGGATATGTCGGGGGAAATGGGCGGAAGCGAGAAGATGGACTGGAAATCTCAAGACAAAGGATATCAATAATTGATAATCTGAGTTGGATCGGATATATAAGGATGGTCAAGCTGCCTGCTGAGAGCTCTGGGATGAACACTCTTGAGTTGACAGACCCGAAGCCAGACCCAACGGCGCCAAGAGAGAGAGAGAGAGAGAGAGAGAGAGAGAAAGACTGCCAGGAACTTGTTTAATGCTTGCCGTCGAAGACACTCAAGTGACCGAGGAGTCCTATTTCCCTTCTTTTCTCGTCAGCAATTGTCATCAAGTTGAGTCTCATGCGATCCAGGCAGTGAAGGATAATGGCAGACACCCTTCAATTCACCTTGTACAAGAACATTACCAATCGTATTCCGACTCGGTTACATAGTATTTACTATCTTGTGGCTCCTGGACGATACGTTGTACACTGCCCCGTTCACGGCTATAATGCAGAGTCCCAGAGGATGAGATACTAATATTAGTACAGGATCACGAACAGTCGGTGTACAACAAGATACTGCAAACCAGCCATACAAGGTCATACACCATTAATCATCGATTGATGCCAGGTGGCAAGAGTCAGATGGTGGTATGTAAGGGTTCTCTCAGAAACTTCAACGATGGTCAACTTCAGACTCTCATCAAAAACCACAGTGGTTCGAGCAGAAAGCTGACTAACACAGAGTGAGAATTAACAGAGTAATATGTATCCAACCGGGTTGGATGCCCATTTGCTCATTCTTTCAGAGCTCTGCACAAGAGGAATGGCCCCTGGAGGACCCATTGCACCACCCAGTTCCAACCAACCACTCACACATAACCGCGGAAGGCGCATTCGGAAGCAGCCGGAAGCGCCATTTTCGCCAAACCTGTCACCATCTGTCCATCGGGATCGAGCCTGATCGGAATATGTATGACAAACATCTGTGTCGCGGAAACAGAGAGCATCATTCTAAAAAGCTTGTCCGTAGTGCCGATGGTCACGTTTGTGTAATCTGGTTTTGCTTTTCCCGACTCTTTCAATAGTGTTCGACTGCTCGTTGAAAGCTAAAATCTCACCAGCCAGTCCACTCGACCACCTTCACTCCACGCGCAATATTCCACGCGTATTAAAGCGTATACATACATGTTTGTATCCTCCAGCAAGCGCCCATCGGAAATCACCGCTGAAGGATGCGGCAAAAATAGCGCGAGCTGCTCCTGCGGGGTCCTTCGATCAGCTTCTGCGCCACATGAGGAAAAAAACAAAATCGCTCAAGCTGTATGGAGTCTTACTCAAATCATTCGTACAGCTTTGCAGATACAGCTTGATCCCGAGGAGAGACGTGAACAATTTTACCCTCGAGCACCGGTGCGGTTGGAATATACAAAATGTGGCGGCTATGTATAAGATATGCATGTAGCACGGAGCGGCGGAAGGGCCGTCGTTCCGCAGCCTCCAGTTCCAAGTGCTGTAAAATCGACAGTCCAAACAACCTTCAGATTATCTCCACACACATAGTCAGAGTCAGTCGTCCATGTAAAGCGGGTAGCCAATGATGAGCCGAAGAGATGAGTTGAAAAGATTCACCCGAGGATACATTTCTGTGGATAAATCTGTGGATACATATAAATCTAGTGTGTGCGGGACCGGGTGGCTGGCCGAATGAATGGGGCGATATGGTTACTTGATGATAGCATGCAAATTGATAATATGACCCTGTGATTTACATCATGAAGAGGTCCAAGTTGCACATGCAAAAAAGCTTTTGGTTGTGAGGGATTAGGAGCTTTGTATCAAGGAAAGATTCATGTGCATGCGTTCATAGAAAATAAAGGCCTATTGCGAAGACGGTGCTCAGAAGTCGCCGGGAAAGACCTCACATGGCCAGGTTTGACAAAGTTCAAGAAATATGGCTGGCGTCCAGCCGGGTTATATATAGGGAATCCAAGAGCTCAACTTCATTTGGCTCGACTGTCTTGCTATTGAAACTTACCGGCTTACCTCTCATCATCTTGAACATAGTATCCATCGACTGTAACAATCATTTGTCGATGCTTCGAGGTTGCTGGGATTAGAATCATCTCAGGATTTGCCTTGAAATGGCTCTGCACTTCCAAGTAATGGATGAGTGTGACTTATGGGTGATGATGTCCCTGCATGGAAAATTTGACAGTATGGGGGCAAGTGACGTTCCGGCTTTCCGGTTGGAAAATAATAACAGGCGTTGCAAAAGCTATGTATAAGAATCCATCCGACATCACAAAGACTCAGCACACTTGAGAGCCGGGCACGACTCTTTGGCAGGCCATAGGATTCAGTGAAATTTATAGGTTAGGACCACCTCACTCCCCGGCATCAACCGCAATGCCTAAACAGATCGGTCCGAACAGCGATCCCCAGATACAAACATCACGGGCGCAGAGCCAGCCGAACAAAAGAAATGCAATGATTGATCGGAGTCATCATGCAAACCAGTCACTACTGAGAGGGCTAATGTGCTCTCAAAAGGCGGGATTGGCGCGGAAAATCTGGCGTCATCGCTGAAGCTCAACTCACCAAGGCTCAAAGCACAATTGGGATGGCACTTCTTAATAAAGTTGGTTTAGAGTCAATAGTATATCAGGCAAATCAGGATAAATAATTGCGAGTCCATGCAAAGCAGAAGAAGCGGTAATGGCGCATGAGAAATGGGACAGAAACGTGACGTCGTAGATGTGGGACAGGACACAGTAAACAAATCAACATCAAAAAGCAAAATCACTATTAAGAAGGATGTTAGGCATGTATCGTAGACAATAGCGCTCGTTGAGAACCAGTATTCGGAGAGAGGATGACTCGTGTCCACGTCGTGTTGAAGGAAGAATTTCGTCGGGTTTTCTAAGGTCCACCCTAAGCCTGCGCATCCTTTTTCTATAAAATAAGTGGAGTCAGCAAGACAGTCTGGAGGAGCGGTGATGATACAGACGTGACATACGTTATTGTCCTTAACTGCCTTCAAAGACTGTCCGATCATCGCATCGGTGTAAGGGGAGTCGTTGGGAGTGTAGGGGATTGTTTGGCTCGGAGAGGTCCAAAAAGGCCAGGTGGAAGGGTTGTAATCATCGGGGGATTGGGGCCAGGGCCAATAGTTGGTTGAGGGCTGTGGGGGCACAGTGTCACAGTTCATGCCGAAGAGTACACAAAGGCGGCCGTCATTCGGGACCGCGTATTTGGCTTGGAGTTCACCTTTCGGCTTAGCTTCGCCTCGTTTGGCAAGAGTGGGGAGGGCAGAAGCACTCTGGAGGAGCGCAAGGAAGAGGATAACAGCTACTACGGTGCGCATCTTGGGATTGTTGGCAGTGGTTTTGATGAGTGATCTTCTTCGACAAGGTCAAGGGGGACGTTGGAGGATGAGGCGAATGGAAGATGGCTCGGAGCAGGTCCATCTTAAGCCTTTCGAGTCGGCTCCTCATCTTGCAGCCTTGCCCAAAATATGAGGCTCTCGCTTGACTGCTCCACCTGGGAAGTGTCTATCGCACAGCCGTCTAGTGCCAGGCTGTCCACAGTCCCATATCATAAAACTGACGAGATATACTCAATGTGTGACTGCAGATTGTAAGCTCGGACACCCTTCAGCGACTTCCATATAGCCAACAAAAAGCACTCAAAGGAAAAGGGGTGTCGTTGTTTTACGGATCTTTGTCAACATACTCCGGAGTTGACAGTCCCGTCAAGTCGGTCAAATTTCTTGCCCCGCATTTGACTGCCCGACTCCGCTCCAGGTCAAGTGTCAAACCGCCGTTGATTCATCTTGTCATCTTCTACTGTTAAATGAATCTATTGCGGTGGGAAAGGACTCCAGATAACAATTTAAATTGTGGGAAACCTTTGGCAAAAAGCCAATATGGCAAAAAGGCAAAAAGGTATGCACCAGGGGAAGTACAAAAGGGGGTTTCTGAATTTCTTGTTTTTTTCTGCTTTTCTTTTTGATTCTTTTGAGGGGAAAAAACTCCACATCTTTATCAAAGCAGGATAAAACATAAAATTTCTAGGTCTCCTTGTGAATAACAAGTTCAGTGACCTTTGCCCTTGAATACACAGATGGAGGTCAGGAAGAGATGGCCCAGGGCTCAAAATTGGATAGTTTGGTTGCAAGATATCAAAATACACTTGTGTGTGTATAGGGCAGTTCATATTTGGAACTTGAGCATCACTTAGCTGATGTGCTGATGCAGGTCTGAAAGTTTTCCTGAAATTTTAAATTCATGACAAACATCAGAAACATCTCAATATTGATAAGTAAGAATCTGATGTAAATTTTATCATTAGCATCAGCAAACTGATGTTGAAGTTCCCAATCACGTGAGCTTCAACCCTATTATTCAGAAGTTTTGGATATTGCAAGGGTTGACAAAGTTGGAAAAATCAAAATAAAAAAAAACTTGGGAAATCAAGTGGCCCACCCCCTTCCATTCAAAACTTAACACATAATTGAAGATAGTGAAAAAATTACATGCATTAATACTACAAAAAAAGCATGAAGCTGACACCAGTCACCATTCAGATTCCAGAAACAACAACTCCATTTCAATTTGTGTTGTGACTCAAACTTTAGTCAAAGTGGGATCCCAACATAACTTCAATTTACAAGGGGAAGCATGCAACCAACAATGTGAACATTAAAACACAGGTTAAACTGAAGCATCATCTTTCTATGTTGCACCCCTTGATCAAGTTTCATGACTCCAACAAGGTGGAATGAGGGTATTGCAATCAAACAAATATGTATATAACTAACACTTATGAACATTTAGCTTCCAGTGTAGCACCTTGGGGTGGTGCGCACTTTTCATCTCTCACCTCACATGCTAAACCCACACCACAATTTACAAATTCAACATCTAGCCACCCAGAATTTTATTATAATTCAAATAATCCAACAACAGTCTATTAATTTGTTGAGAATGTTTTAGCTCTAAGACACACAACAAGAAAATTGTCATCACCATCAGCACTGAAACACACCTATTGTTATATTTAGAATTTTTTAGTTCTAAGACACACAACAAGATTATTGTTATCACCAGCAACACTGAAACACCTTTGTAATGCAGAGGTATGGAGTCCAGGAAATTTTTGGATGAAGAACACAAGATTCAGACAATGATCAGTTCTTACTTCACTTCTTATCAATATGAGTGTGTGAAGAAATGACTGGTACAGTTGCAATGATTGTTATTGGTTTTGATGTGGGGGGCACTTCTTAGGTTTAGGTTTGTTGATGCCAGTGACAATGGAGGATTTGCTGCCTGTTTTCAAGAAAAGAATTGGTGCAGCATAATGTAGCAAGAATTAACACCTGGAGATAGGACCAAAACTGAAACATATACAATAAACTGTGTATCATGGAGAATTCTGAAAACCTGCATGGCCAAAAAACAAATTTGTTGCATCTCCTTGCAAATAAAAGCACATTGGTCAGATAGTTTTTTTTATTGGGGTTCAGATACATAGTTATAAATGGCAGATACATGGCAGATACCAACGGTGGGCCGCTACGCTAAATGGCCATTTAGCGTTAGCGTAGCTGCTGTTGCAGCAACCTTCTTTTGTGTAGTGTTAGTTTGCGCTACAGCCCACTACGCTACGCTAACTTTTAGAGGCGCTAACAACACACCTTTTTTTGGGTAGTGTTAGCGCACCGCTACAGCCACTTCGCTGCGTTACGCTACGCTACAGCGCTGTTAGCGGCAAAAAAGGCCAAAAAACCGCTAAAAAGCGCTGTAGCTTAGTGTAGCGGACGCTTTTTTGCGCCCCATGGGCGTAGTGTTAGTGTGGATGAGTGAAATAAAGCTAACACTACGCTAACAGCTAACACCCACTGGCGCCCTGTGTGCGTAGTGTTAGTGCAAATTTTCAGATTTGCGCTAACACTACGCTACATGTTAGCTTATTTTAGCTACACTACGCTACACTAACGCTACGGTTAGTGTAGCTGGCCCACCGTTGCAGATACTGTATCTGTTTCAGCATTGATAGGACCCTGGCAAGCCTCAACCAAGCCTACTTTTGTGCCATGTAGCAAAACAATTTTGTTTTTGGAAAATGATTAGACACCAGGAAAAAATGATCACGTGATGACAAGTGCTATCAGCCAGTTCAGCATGCTACCCATTGCATACCCAGCTCAACTCTGTGTCAGCCCCCTGTAGCACACAAAGGGGCCATTGTATTTGGGTTGTATTAGAGTTGGAGCTACAGAGGAGCAGTGATCAATGTTACATGATGTCTCCTGCCATCTAGTGAGTATTTATTTTTCCTGGTGGAATATGTAAAACATTGTATTTTTTCTCATCAAACATACTTATGAACTTTTATCCTTTTGGGACTTTCAAACTAAAAACAGAGCTTTTGGCTCTTTCAGGTTTGAAAAACCCCTGATTTAAATATATGTGGATGGCAAAGAAGGGGCGCTGATAAACACACTCCCTCCCCCTCCCCGCACGCCCACGCCCACGCCCCTCCAAAAGGGGCGTGCAATTGAACCCGCCCCTCCTGGAGGGGCGGGTTCTTCTGCCCGCCCCCCGGAATCCTGTTTTTCCAAGGAAACAGGCTTCCGAGGGGCGGGCAGAAGAACCCGCCCCTCCAGGAAGGGAGGGCAAAAGAACCCGCCCATCAAGAACGATATTCTGGGTTCTTGACTAGCGGGTATGATTACGTGAGCAAAACATCCTAGGATGTTTTGCTCACATAATCCTATCTTCTTACTATGTAACATTTTAAATCCAGCCCATTGGGAGGGTTTACTCCCGATGGGCTGGATTTGAAACCAGTTCATCAGGAGGAAACCCTCCCAATGAACTAGGCTCAAGAGCAGCTCATTGGGAGGGTTCCTCCCGATGAGCTGGTACATAGTTCAGCTCATCGGGAGGAAACCTCCCCATGAGCTGCGCTTGAGCCTAGTTCATTGGGAGGGTTTCCTCCTGATGAACTGGTTTCAAATCCAGCCCATCGGGAGTAAACCCTCCCGATGAGGTGGTTTCAAATCCAGCTAATCGAGAGGGTTTCCTCCCGATGAGATGCCTCACAGTCCAGCTCATCAGGAGGAAACCCTCCCGATGGTCTGGATTTAAAACCAGATCATTGGGAGGGTTTCCTCCTGATGAGCTGCTACACAGTCCAGCTCATTGGGAGGAAGCCCTCCCGATGGGCTGGATTCAAATCCATCCAAGAACCAAGCTATCTCGGTTCTTGGCTGGCGTGCAAACCCACCCGCCCCTCCTGGAGGGGCTGGTGCTTCTGCATGCCCCTTGGAAGGCTGTTTCCTTGAAAAAACAGGATTCTGAAGGGTGTGTGATCAAACCTGCCCCTCCAGGAGGGGCGGGTTCAATTGCACGCCCCTTTTGGAGGGGCGTGGGCGTGGGCGTGCGGGGAGGGGGAGGGAGTGTGTTTATCAACACCCGCAAAGAAGGGTTGTGGGTTTGATGCCCCAATGTAATAATTTTCTACACCATTAATTTTTTTGTGTCTAATCGTAGAATGATACTGATGGAGTCAATAGAAAAATGTAATTTTTCAGAAAAAATACACTTTGTGCACGCAAAACCTAGATTTCATTGAAATAAGTAGGCTTGGTCAGGTCTCACCTGGGTCCTGTGGAGATGCTCTATCAGCTTGGTTTAAGTATCCTAGAGTTACATTGTTTGACTGTGCATATTATGAACAACATGGCATTGAGATTATGGCTACAATTACAAACATTTTTTTGAGATTTTTTTCAAAACGTTTTGAAACTGTCTTGAAATTCATTTATTTTACTTTTTTAGGAAATTGATAGCTCAATAAGGTTTTCAAAACTGATTCAATAACATTGTGTAATCATAAACCCCAGATCTGATGTAGCCCACAAGTCCCTGGTGGTTCTGAGGTTTTCATACTTCTCTGCTCAGCACTCTAACCAGCGGACTGGGGAAAGGAGCAACATCTGAGCCAAAGCCAAAAAGCTGAAGTCAAGGTAGGACAGGAGAGTGCCGCTATCGGCCAATATGCAAGGGTGGTGATTGGTGTTTCAGCACAAGGTTTCTGTAGCAGTTATCCTAGTACACAGACCCGTACACAGACCTCTTGGCTGTTGCAAAAGGTGAGAAATTTTTGAAATTTAAAAAACTCAAACTCAAATCGACCCTCCGAGCCAATTTGAGATCTTTTTGAGGAAAAAACGTGACAATTGTTTTTTGGGATTGAGTTCAAAACAAACTTGAAGGATTCTCAAAAAAATCTCAAAAAGCTGTTTATAATTGTAGCCTATGTCAAAAAAAAAGAATCTGATGCATCTTGCGGCAAGGCTCCATATGTGCTCCAATTAGCAAAGTTTCTGTCCTGTGAATATGAGTGGAGAAAGAAACTCTTTTCTT